CTGTCTCGGCGAGGCGCTGCTGCCCTCCGGTGAATCTTCGCCGGACAGAGATCTCGTTTCATCTGATTTTGTCAGGGGAGAAATGTTGAAAGAGTCTGAGGAAATCAGCAATGTTAGTTTGTTTGTGACTCAACCTGAGCGCGTCTTTCCGGTAGAGCGCTGGGGAAAGTTTTCAAAGGCGGTGCGAGTCGTAGCATGGGTGCGTCGCTTCATTGAAAACTGTCGCTGCGCTCAGCAGAGGTCCAGGCGTCATGAGTTGTCCTCCATCGAGTTGGCTGAGGCCAAGCGCGAGCTGCTGCGTCAGGAGCAGCGGAGCGAGTTTCACGAGGAGTGGACCGCTCTGGAGAAGGGTAAGACAGTGTCAAAGGGCTCCAGCATTTTCCGATTGGCCCCCTTCGTGGGTGACGATGGTCTGCTGAGAATGGGCAGTAGGCTACAAATGTCTGACCTACAGTACGAGGAGAAGTACCCAGTGTTGTTACCCAGAGGTCACTTGTCCGAGCTTTTGGTCAGAGAACAACACCTCCTACTGAGTCATGCTGGTGTGAACACGATGGTAGCCACGCTCAGAGGGGCCTATTTTATATTGGGTCTGCGCTGCCTCGCAAAACGTGTGAAACGTGGCTGTGTGTCGTGCCAGCGGCACGACTCGCAGCCGTGTAATGAGGAGGCGGCTCCCTTGCCGAGCTGTAGAGTGACCGAGTCGCCGCCATTCACAGTTACTGGGGTGGATTTCGCTGGGCCGATTTTCAGTGTCGATTTCCCGCGCAAAAAGTTTTATGTGTGTTTGTTTACGTGTGCTGTCACACGCGCGGTACACCTTGAAATGACTGAGGCTTTGTCATTGGTAGAGTTTATGATGGCGCTGAGACGATTCTCGGCGAGGCGCGGTGTTCCCAGAGTCGTTTACTCGGACAACGCGCCGACTTTCAAGGGGGCTGACGCACAGCTGCAACGTTTCTTTGGACACCTGGCTCCGGAGTGGAGATTTATCACACCTCACTCGCCGTGGTGGGGCGGGTGGTGGGAACGCCTCGTGCGATCCGTGAAGTCAGGACTCCGTAAGACACTTGGGACACGGTGTCTCTCACGGACAGAGTTTGAAACAGTCCTTTTCGAGATAGAGTGCTGCATAAACTCTCGCCCTTTAACCTTCGTCGGTGACGGGCTCGAAGCAGTACCACCCCTGACGCCCTCTCACTTCCTGACTGGCAGAGGGACGGGTTTTCCCGCACGGGTTTTGGAAGACCCGGGTTCTGTGAATCCCAGAGAGCTATCAGAGAGAGCTCGTGTGCGTGAGAAGCGGCTCAACAAGTTCTGGTCGGTCTGGTCGTCAGAATATCTCCGCTCACTGCCGCCAGTTGTCGGTAAGTTCCGGACTCGGGGCAGGTTAGCAGTCGGATCGCTTGTCCTGCTTCGGGAAGACAAGGTGCCCAGGATGAGGTGAATTCACGGAGTAGTGACGAAGCTTCACATGGGGAGGGACGGGCGAGTGAGATCAGTCGAGGTGCGGACCTCCTCAGGGCTGAAAACTCGTCCTATCCAACGCCTGCACGATTTGGAGGTGCAGTGATACTGGCAGCAGGGCGGGACCGATCACTGTCTTCAGCATTTACTAAATGCGGTGGTGACGTATATGTGTCCATTCTGTGTTTGGTCCGGTGTCGCCTGTGACTGTGGTGGTTCCTTTGTTTATATCGGGCTTGGAGTAAAGTCCGTGAGTGTAGAACCAAATTTGGTTTGCTTGAGATTAGTACTCGTTCGGGTCAAATGTAGCGCCCACAGGCTAAGCAGGTACTCTAGTTGGACTTGCGTATTGTGTTAAGTTGTCTGCCTCGCCTGCGAGAACTCGTGCTGAATGGCACTTAAGACGTGTTTCGTTGAAGGTTAGCGTTTGAGATACATTGTCGCTCTTGGAGGTAGAGTGTCACTAGCGTATAATTTCACGTATTAGCCGCCTGTAGTCGGACTTCTTGGCGTTTAGACCTGAACCGTCTGTGTACCTATCATGTTAGTTAGTTCGCGGTCGATATCCATATGTTGTAGTGTACGTTAACACAAACTTATAGCGGCAGTGACCTTGTGTTTGAAGTTCTGTTGACTTCAAAGGCTGGGAGGATGTTGTAAATAATGTAGACGACATCTAGCGGCAGGCATTGAATTAGCTTGGGAGACATCTAGCGGCAGGCATTGAATTAGCATTCATTCGAGTTCGTGTCGTGGCGCGGTGCGATTGCCGGTCACGACAGTGTCGAGCAGTTTTCGTCGTTGGTTTCGTCGGTCCCTCGGGACGAGCTGAGCAATAACGCACCTACCGTTCGTCGTTATCTGTATTGGACGTCAAACCCAATACACTCTGGAAGTCAAAATTATGTGTGAAGTTGAAGTGCGGTGGTTGTGCGCCGGTAATGTGCGCAGAAAATATAAGCACACGTGGTGAAGCAAGCTGAGCCGGTCGTTTCGTTACAGTATGTTTATGAACGCAGGTGGAACACAAGAACAATAATGTCAGTGTTGGCAATGGTATCAGTATTGATCGATAAAAAACTGCTTTGAGAAATCCTTGATTTCTCTCTTTGTTAGTGGAACTGCTTCCATATCTGTGAACTTAGGACCAATTATTGAGTTCCAAATCCTAGGTGCAGACCACCTAGTAGTGTAGCTGCGATAATTTTTTTTTCTGAGAAGAACTCGTGGAAATGATGGGTTGAGCGAGTATCTCGAAGCGGTTCGAGTATCGTAAAAAGTCTGTCAATAGATGAAGGCAAAGTTCCTTTCAACTTTCTATGCATTAGCAGAAGCATCTGCTGCTTACCAATGTCTCTCAACTTAAGTATTTTCAGTTTCTTAAAAATTGGTGCTGTGTGTGCGAGTCTATGTTCGCCATCAATCATTCTGAGTTCTGACCACACGCTTTTGTAATTTCTCGAGCTTATCTACGTTTGTAATATAAGTGTTGCTGTAAAGCATACAGCAGTAGTTGATATACGGAAGGAAAAGTGCGTTATATAAAAGAAGCAGCTGTTTAGGTACCAATATATACCTAGCTCTGCTTATGAGTCCAACGTTACGAGTCAGCGTTGTAGAAAGGTGTGAAATGTGTGATTTCCATTTCAGATCGTCATCTACGTACATGCCCAAGTACTTAACTGTTTTAACAAATTTAATATGTGCACCAGAGAGCAAAACAGACACATTGACAGCGCGTTTAGAATTATTGTAGAGCTGACAAAAAGTTTTGTCTGTATTTAAAGATAATTGGTTTGCTTGAAACCAAACAGCTATCTTGGGCATTGTGGCGTCGATGACTCTTTGCAAATGGGCTTCATCATTGCCTTCAATGAAAATGGCTGTGTCATCTGCATACAGATATGCAGTTATATCATCAGAAATGGAGGGAAAGTCATTGATGTAAATTAAAAACAGAAGTGGCCCAAGGATGGAGCCCTGGGGAACACCGATATCAACCGAAGCAAGGCTGGAGCGAACATGCTCTACCTCAACACACTGTGTGCGGCCTTCTAAATATGATTTCAGCATCATAAGTGCATTGTCACGTATACCGTAAGCATACAGTTTCTTAAGTAAAATGGTTTGGTTCACAGTGTCAAATGCTTTTCGGAGGTCAAGGTATAAGCCGCAGACAACTTTGCCTGCTTCAAATGCTTGGTTTACCTTTTCTTGAACCAAAAGAAGGGGCATGTAAGTGCTCATGCTTTTTCTAAAACCAAACTGAAATTCGGTGATGATTTTGTTATGTTTAAAGAAATGCTCAAGTCGGGTATGTACTAGTTTTTCTAGTATTTTCGATATAAAAGGCAGTATGCTTATTGGTCTATAGTTTGTAAAACGTTGCTTATCCCCTGCTTTAAAAATTGGTTTTATAACCGCCGTTTTCAAAGGGCGAGGGAACACGTTTTGGCGTAAGCATAAATTCAAGAGAAAGACAAGCTCTCTTAGGACAGTCTGGTAAGCTGCTTTAAAAATACGTGCATTAATGCCGTCTATTCCACCACCAACTTTTTTGGTGCTATTTACTATCTCAGTAACTTCAATGTCATTAGTTTCGGTGAATGATGATAGTGGGTTTCCTAGTCCTCTAGGAAGATTTTCAATAGGGTCGGTGGAACAAGGAGGTATCCGCTCTTTTAAGTCATTGCCAACACTAGCAAAGTATGAGTTAAAAGATTCGGCGATTATTTTTGGGTCATTTTCAACATCATCACCAATCTTAAAAGAAGGTGGACTTTCTTGTTTAATTATGTTTCCTTTCGTTATCTCGTTCAGTAGCCGCCAGGTTTCCCTCGGGCCACAATCTTTTAGTGCATTCTGATAGTAAGTTTGTTTGGCTTTCCTCAGTATATGAGTGAACAAATTCTTATAACGTTTGTAGTTGTTGATATTGAAGGGAGACGGGTGTCTATTCTTTATGCGAAAAAGCTCGTTTTTTTCTGTTAATGGAAACCAATAAGCCAGGGGTAATCCATGCTTTAATAGGTGTCTTTTTCCGAGTGGGAGTATAGGTGTGGCTGCACCTAGATATCTCGGAAGTGTAGGCTTCTATGAATGTTGTACATGCGTGTTCCGCATCAGTTTCATTACAGAAGTCTCTTAGTTTCAACTGCAAACGAGTTTGCAAGTGAGGAATCATGTTATAGTTAAAAGAAGTGATGGTTTGCCTCATATGTTTATGAGAATTGTCTGTTCTGAGAGTAAGATCGACAAACACTGGGAAATGGTCTGATAAGTCACTCAAAATAAGACCTGGGTCATTCAAGATTGAAAGGTTATTAGAGAATATATTGTCAAGCAGTGATGCACTGTCGGGATACATCTAGGATGAACATCAGGATACGTCTAGGGAACACACCATTATAAAATACAGCGCTACGATTCGGGACACCGAATTCGCTAGCCACCCAGTCTGTCGTTTGGTAGACCAGTGTTTTAGTAACTGCCCTAACCCCAGTGCCGCCGAACCAGGACGCCGCAGTACTGACCTGGTCACACTGACAGATGGCCTCGAACAGCGACTGTTCCACGTCTGCCAGGCCCAGGTAGGCCACCTTCTGCTGCGCGTGGAACTGTTCCAGCACCCGCCAGAGGGGCAGCAGCTGCTCCAGCGTCATCTCCTCCCAGGGCAGAGGGTTGGACAGCACGATCGCCTCCACCTGCTTCACCGACAACTCCGTCAGAGCTGCCGGATATAGAGAGGGGACGGACACGGTCAGAGCTGCCGGATACACACGGAGACGGACACGGTCAGAGCTGCCGGATATAGAGAGGGGACGGACACGGTCAGAGCTGCCGGATACACACGGAGACGGACACGGTCAGAGCTGCCGGATATAGAGAGGGGACGGACACGGTCAGAGGTGTCGGATATACACGCGGGGACGGACACGGTCAGAGCTGCCGGATACAGGCGGGGACAGACACGGTCAGAGCTGCCGGATATAGAGAGGGGACGGACACGGTCAGAGCTGCCGGATATAGAGAGGGGACGGACACGGTCAGAGCTACCGGATACCGTCGAAGTCAGTGAGCTGTGTGATGATTGGACAACTGAAAACCGGACACCGTCAGAGCTGGCGGATACGTTCTACCGAGTCGGTATCTGAATCGAGGTTCAAGATCAACATAAAATCGTCTATCCGATAAATAACTGAGCAATCTCATAGAAATCGCACAAATGTGCCTAGGCTTCCCAGTTCCCACTGTCATGACCATTGACGAGCCTGCTGTTTGTGGACGCTAAAGCTCACTGACGCCACCCCGCGGGTCACATTACCCCGTCTCCCAGCCCGGGCCGCACAGTGTACCTCGCTCGACGGCCTGTCGGACGGCGTCGGTGTCCAGCCCGACCGGGAACAGTTTGACGGTGATGCTCAGCGGCTCCCGCTCCTCCTCACCCAGACTGACGCTGTAGCACGCACACGGCACTGCCATCTGGCGGACAGAAACCGAGACTGACCGTCACATCGCTGCGCTGGCTGCACACATAGAGGCAGTACCAAATAGAGGCATAGACAAATGGTGAGACAACTGGAGTGATTATTTGGCTCTTTTCAGATATCTGGGCTTTTCATAGGTGTTTAAGTCCCCAACTTCTGCATGTGCTGATAAGTGGATATTTATCGCGATGGGTTAACGTTTTGACAGTTCTACCATAGGTAAGACAATAGGTCATCAATAATATAACCCCATGGCCATAGCTAAGCACTTCCTGCGTCAATGTAGCCAAGAAGCCGTCCAATTGGTTACAGCGGTGGGGCCTGGCTTACCACGACTGACGGCCGGTCCAGTTCGCCCTTGGCCGGGCGAATGATGTCGAGCATATGATCCAGGGATGACATCAACTGAAAAGCAGCCAGGTACTTTGGTTATTATAGGAATGCAGTCAGCGCTTACCGAAACTGAGAAAACGTGAACATGGTCATTACTTAATAGGTATGCTCAGCTGGGCTGTCGAAAAAAGCAAGAATCACTATAGTCACACTGATGCAGAATTATAGGAAATGTAAACAAACAATGACAATGCATGTTGAACACAAAACCAGCACCCACTCAGCATGACTGTCACGTCACACACCACAGACAGCATGACAGCCAAAACTCGGCTCACCTCCTCGGTAGTACCCTGTCCGGCGCGGCGGCGCACCCCACGCATCGAGATGACATTGCCCGTCGACATGGTGAGGTCGGTGCACGCCTCACCCAGCGCCAGCGGCTCGCCCCGCGAACTACACGCGCTCTCGCCGGCACCGCTCATGTTGATACTCTGCCAGACTGTCAATGGGAGGAGAGCGATGAGAAACGATGTGCGCCTACAGAATTACAGCGTTTCAGTCTGCCGAGACTATGTGAACACACTAAGCATCTAACTTGATCTAGTTTGATAGAATGGCCTCATAGGTACCATCCAGGTCAATCTAATGTGGAAGAAAACAATTAAGACAAATGAACTTTTATCAGCATGAGGCATGAGCTATAAGTCAAGAGCTATAAGAGCTATAAGTAAGAGCTATAAGCTATAAGCTATAAGTCTTCCTGTTGGGTAGCTTCAATGATTCGAGCATATGTAGACGAGAGGGAGCGTGGGATACTAAGCACTAAGCCAGGGTACAGAGTGTTTTTTTGCGCAGGGGTGACCACCGACCGGTGAAGTGCATGAAGACTGAAGTTTAACAAGTTGCAAGTAGAGGGCAGAGCACTGTCCTTTACTCCTCCTGGGTCAAAATGTTGGTCAAACTGGACGTCCAATCCTGGCTGATATTATGAACCAAAACAAAAGAAAAATTTGTGAAAATTAAACTTTAACAGCAAAGTTATCAGTTATCACAACTCACAAGACCGTAACCGGACAAATCTTCGTATGGCAATTCTTCGTCGCGCAATTCCTCGTCCGCATTTCTTCGTCCGCAAATCTTCGTCGGCGCTTTTATTCGTGTCGCATAACTTCGTCTCGCATTTCTTCGTAAGCGCAAATATTCGTAGCGCATTTTTTCGTATCCGCATTTCTTCGTCGGCGCATTTCTTCGTCAAGCATTTTTTCGTCCACGCATTTCTTCGTCTACGCAAATCTTCGTCCGCATTTCTTCGTCCACGCAAATCTTCGTCTGCGCATATCTTCGTCCGCAAATCTTCGTCCCCGCAAATCTTCGTCCGCAAATCTTCGTCCGCAAATCTTCGTCCGCATTTTTTCGTCCACGCATTTCTTCGTCTACGCAAATCTTCGTCCGCATTTCTTCGTCCACGCAAATCTTCGTCCCGGCAAATCTTCGTCCGCAAATCTTCGTCCGCATTTCTCGTCCACGCATTTCTTCGTCCACGCAAATCTTTGTACGCAAATCTTCGTCCGCAAATCTTTGTCTGCGCTATCTTCGTCTCCGCAAACATTCGTCCACAAATGTGGTTGAATAAAACCATGAAGAAATATCAGACCATTTAAGTGAATGACGAATTTAATGCATGGAATGGATGATCGATACTTTTGAAGTCATGGCAGATGAGATCACTCAGTCAGGTGAAGCTATTGTATTTGGGAGCCGACAATTGCAACATTCCATATCATTTGTGTCCCGGACATTCTTTTTTTCGCGGTCGTTGAATGACAATATAATCTCTTGTGCCCTCGCCGGCATAGGCGGCGGAACGGGGAGGGCACCGGGGCACCGTTCCCCTCTTTAATTTTGGCCTTTTAACAGTAGCCCTATGGGCGTTGCATGGAAAGAATGGGACCAAAAGTCGGCAGTGCCGTGCCCCCCCCTTAATTGAAGGTGTTCCGCCGCTACTGCTCGCCGGACCTATTTGTTTTCTACATAGGTACACGTCGGCCGAGGGGGGCGGGTACGACCCCCCCCCCTCCCATCGCCGTTTCGCCACTGGTGGAGCTAGCGCGTCGCGGAAAAAACGAGCGTGTGCGCCGTTACGAGAAGCAGAGATTAATACCCGATTTTAAGGCCTTCTAGGTCAGGGGTCGACATACCGCCCGCGGGCCGGATCCGGCCAGGTGGGTGACGGTTGGATCCGGCCCGCGACCATCTGACGTCCGGCCCGCGGCTGGTATCAGCGACTTACATCGTGTTCCGGCCCGCGGTTCTTTCAGAAATCGACTCCGATATAAAAGTGACTGAAATGACCTTTGGCACAATACCTAGTTCTTCCTTCGCACACTTCATGAGTTTATAAACACCATTTGCGGGTGTTTTTGTCTAATTCTACTTAAAGACAAAACTTGCAACGGTAAGATTTGGTCAGCAGCTTTTGCGCGCAGCATCAACGACTGCTGGCTGCGTGCACTTGGCGGCTTCACGTGGTCTACTCGTTTAACCTTCCAGGCGGTGGGGGGGGGGCATTTTTTTGCCCCCCCCCCCGTATCTCCGAAACTACTGGACGGATCCGGAAAATTCAAACGGCGTTCGATAGCCCTGTCAAATTTGTGGAAGGAAGCTAAATTTCATTGACCTCGGGGTCACCGATGACGTCACAGGTCAGGTCAAAGATAACTATGTTTCACCGTTCACGGGTCTTCTAGGGAAAGCGCTATAACACCGAGTAAAGCGCATTTTGTCGAAAATCAGCGATAGGGCGCCAGTTATCTAGTACATATGTTGCTATTAGAGGTCACTGGTCATACCAGGTCAGGTCGCAGGTCAGGTCACCAAGGGTCACCACATGAACCCAGCCCGCAGGCCGCAAATAGTGTTTATAAACTCATGAAGTGTTCGAAGGAAGAACTATTGTGCCAAAGCACATTTAAGTCACTTTTAAATCGGAGTCGATTTCTGAAAGAACCGCGGGCCGGAACACGATGTAAGTCGCTGATACCAGCCGCGGGCCGGACGTCAGATGGTCGCGGGCCGGATCCAACCGTCACCCACCTGGCCGGATCCGGCCCGCGGGCCGTAAGCCGCCGGCCCCTGACCTAGAAGGCCTTAAAATCGGGTATTAATCTCTGCGTCTCGTAACGGAGCACACGCTCGTTGGCCGCGACGCGCTAGCTCCACCAGTGGCGAAACGGCGATGGGGGGGAGGGGGAGTCGTACCCGCCCCCCCTCGGCCGGCGTGTATGTAGACAAAAAAAAGGTCCGGCAAGCAGTAGCGGCGGAAGACTTTCAATTAGGGGGGGGGGCACGGCACTGCCGACTTTTAGTCCCATTCTTTCCATGCAACGACCATAGGGCTACTGTTAAAAGGCCAAAATTAAAGAGGGGAACGGTGCCCCGGTGCCCTCCCCGTTCCGCCGCCTATGCCGGCGAGGGTACAAGAGATTATTTTGTCATTCATCGACCGCGAAAAAAAGAATGTCCGGGACACAAATGATATGGAATGTTACAATTGTCGGCTCCCAAATACAATAGCTTCACCTGACTGACCTCATCTACCTGGCTTCAAAAGTTTCGATCATCCATTCCATGCATTAAATTCGTCATTCACTTGCAATGGTCTGATATTTCTTCATGGTTTTATTGAACCACAGTTGTGGACGAATGTTTGCGGAGACGAAGATAGCGCAGACAAAGGTTTGCGGACGAAAATATGCGCAGACAAAGATTTGCGGACGAAGATTTGCGTGGACGAAGAAATGTGTGGACGAAAAATGCGGACGAAGATTTGCGGACGAAGATTTGCCGGGACGAAGATTTGCGTGGACGAAGAAATGCGGACGAAGATTTGCGTAGACGAAGAAATGCGTGGACGAAAAAATGCGGACGAAGATTTGCGGACGAAGATTTGCGGGGACGAAGATTTGCGGACGAAGATATGCGCAGACGAAGATTTGCGTGGACGAAGAAATGCGGACGAAGATTTGCGTAGACGAAGAAATGCGTGGACGAAAAAATGCTTGACGAAGAAATGCGCCGACGAAGAAATGCGGAAACGAAGAAATGCGCTGCGAATATTTGCGCTTACGAAGAAATGCGAGACGAAATAATGCGACACGAATAAATGCGCCGACGAAGATTTGCGGACGAAGAAATGCGGACGAAGAATTGCGCGACGGAGAAATGCCATACGAAGATTTGTCCTGGAATCCACAAGACAGTTATGAACGCCAACAATAATCTGCGATAAAATTACAGAAAGAGTCCAAGTCTGATTCACTTTATCTGCATTAGTTTGCTCAAGATCTACTCTGATTGTCTAAAACCCCGTTTTTAGTGCTTCAATACGCGAAAATTGAAAAGCAACGCATGCATAAAATGCATAGATCCCCCCACCTTCCTCGTAACACTCTCCTCCGTCACCGTGTTCACGCCAATAACACCACCAGACACCACAATCATTGGAGCGCATTGCGGTAGCTGTTTTTCTTATCAGAATGCTGTTATTCCTCGGCTGTTCATTGGTGGAATCAACATGATCCGAACTTTTGACCAATGAAAAGCCGCAGAGTACGCTTATGAAGCTTCCACATGTGGAAAAAGCCAAGATGAACAGCTTTCGTGTTGTGCGTTACCAAAAAAAAATATTGATGTCATGACGTCATCAGTTCATATAATAATTAAAAAATTAAGCTAATTGGGAACGGACATAAAACTTGGTTGATGTGTGCAGACATAGATATAAAGTGTGCAGACATGACATAATTTTTATCTTCACTAAAAAAGGCAAAATTTCCAAATTTTAACCTAGCAAAAATGATGAGGGCGTGTTCTGCCTTTCCTTTTGCTTTTAAAAGTTAATGACGTCATTACTTAACTTCTTTTGAAAACAAATCTTCACAGGCAATTCCAGCAGAAACTTTGACGAAAACGGCGCGGTAAGATAGAGGATAGAGTAAGAATTGTAGATTTTCACAGTTTTTGGTGACATTCGACCACCTACTTGCTTAGTTCCTATCGTCGAAAAAATCGCGGTGATGTGTGTTTTTGAATGATATGTGAATTTGGTGTCTCAGATGCTAAATGTTTGTTTAAGAACCTGCTTTGGTTTGCTCAAGATCTACTCTGATTGCAATTGTCTGAAAAACTGCTTTCAGTGCATCAAGACAATAAGTGAAATTTGAAAATTACATAATGCAAGATATTTCCCATATCATTACGAGATAGTTATACCGCTGAAACACTGAAATTTAAGATCTACACTACTAAGCATTTTTCTCCTGGATATCTTGTGTTATCCTGCTTCCAAGTCCCAGGCAATTTCCTCTTTATAGTAAATGCTGTCAATGGTATAGTTTTATTACTGGTATTTTAACAAGTTGGTGTTGTGATGTAACAAACTGGCAGCCATCTCAAGGCTAGAGCTTGCTTACTGTCTTCAACTTTTGACAGGGAAGTGTCAAGTGGGACACCTGCTTTACCATTGTCATTACCAAAGTTTGTTGACAAAGCAAGTTCCAGTTCATTTGGGCAGTCATAAATCAGGCATCACACTTCCCTATAAATAGCTGAAGGCAGTGTGACAATCCATGGCCTTGAGGCTTGAGACTGCTGCCAGATTATGATGCTACAAATATACAATAACCTAGTTACCACTTACCATCAATGCAGCATTTTGGACTAGTGAGTGGAATTTGCCTGGCAGAGCAGGATGACCATGCATGATTTACCTACAGGAATGTTGCCTGGTGCATTGTTTTGTCTGCAGCTGCTTACACCTTTCCTGTCATATGGAAAAAGTAATTGCTGAATGAAAATACCAACCAGCCTAGCTAATAAACTTTATTTACTAAAGTTTATTCTACTTCTAAAACCATCAAAGGACAAGCCTAGCTAATATATTTGTTTTCACATTAGCAAATAGCAGTCAATTAGGGAAAATGTTTCCATGGCTGTTTAATATTCATATTCTTTATGTGATTTTCCATAGGTGTTGATTTATTGTGAAGCGTCAGAAAAAATGCAAAGTAAGGCTACAAGAGTGACAGAGCTACAAGAGTGACAGAGCACTGACCAGCCAGACCAACAACTGACACCTGGCAGGGCACCACCTGCGACCTGCACTAGCTGCCACCAACTGAAAATTGACTTTGGTTTGTATTGTTTGTTTCAGCTGCTACTGTGTTGCCATTTTAGGTAAGTGGGACTCAGAAGCAGTCCTGCAGCCATGAGCACCATGTCTGTCGACAATCAGCTGGAGAAGCCGGCGTTCCTGCAGTGCTGTCTGGTGTGTAACGTCCCGGTACCGGCGGCGGCGGCCGGCGCGGACCCAGAGCGTGCCACAGAGTCTGCCAGTCTGCGCCAGCTGCTGGCCGGTCACATCAGCACGGCGGCGCGCGACGAGCTGGACATTGTGGAGAGCGTGTGCGCGCCGTGCCTGGCCACGCTGCAGCAGTGGAACGCGGCGCGGCTGACGGTGCGCCGGCTGCACCAGGCGCTGGCGGCGCGGTACCGGTGCGCGCGGCAGCGGCGCGCCGCCTGCGTGCTCAGCCTGCACCTGGAGCGGCTGGTGGTGCAGATCCCGTACGGCGCCTTCCTGCTGAACGCGCGCGGCCTGGCCGGACAGCCGTGGCCTGAGCTGGTGCGCCGGGTGGCCGCTGCTGTCCTGGAGAGTGCCGGCATCGCGCGGCCGGCGCGCACCGAGCCGCCGCCGCCGACCGGCACCAGGACAGTGGGCTGCCAGACCCCGGCCGAACCGACCCCGGAGCCGGTTGTGGTGCCGAAACAGGAACCCGAGCCGGCCACAGTAGCGGTCGGCACCGAGCCGGAGCCCGCCGGTCAGCCGGCCGGACGGTCCCGGCCGGCGGCGGCCCGCAGACCGCGCGGCAAGCGGCCGCGGTCCGCCCTGCAGCCTCCCCGCCCGGCTGAGCAGCCCCCTCCTCCCCCTCCGCCGCCCCCGCTGCTGGAGGCGCCCCGGCCGCCGCCGGAGCAGCCGTCGCCGCGGCCGCTGCTCGGCTGTCTGCGAGGCTGGGAGGGTATCACCAACGTACAGCCGTCGGCACCACAGCGGCCGCCGGCGGCCTCCCAGAAACGGGTCGGCTTCGAGGGTCTGAAGGAGCAGGCGGCGCGCGCCCGGGACCTCGAGGAGACGCTGTCGATCCTCTCTGTGGCGGATACAGCCAGTCTGCTGGACCGCACCGAGACCCTCTCCGTGTTCTCAGGTGGGCAGCTGCACAGGTCGAGTTCGTAGTTAAAACTCAGTAGTAGTTCCATAGTGCTGAACGACAATCAAGCCTTGCTTTCGGAATGATTTTGTTTTCGATGAACATCACACTTCAAGTCTAATCGAACTTATGGTTATTCGAAGTGTACTGTTGGAGTGGTTGGTTTTAATTGTCTTTTGATCTGGTCCTGGATCCCGCTGTCATATCTTGTCTTCCGTCGTTTCCCATTGTTATCGTTGTTTCCCCTTTGTTATCGACGAGCCGTTGTTTTTTCGTCGTTGACCGATCTCTAACCGATGCCCGCAGACACGGCCGACCTCAGTACGCTGGCTGACGAGAACTGGCCGTCCCTGGAGGTGACGGGCGGCACGGAGCCCGACATGGCCATCCCTCTCGTGAAGGAGAGGCCCTCAGAGGTGAGTCACGTGGGGAGGGAACAGGGGAGAGCGTCAGAGGGAGGTCGTGATGGTGGGACAGGACCAGAGAGAGTGGGCTGTGGAGTGGGAAGTTGACTTTGGATGATCTGTAACCGACACCATGTTACCTGTCCGCACATGACACTCCGTTTGTGTCGTTTGCCCGGCTGTAAATGATGTATCCTGCTGTAACTGAGGCATGGATGAAACAATACTGGATTGGTGTCTTAGCAGTTTTCGGCGACATTGAGCTCAGACTTGCCATCTAGCATACCACTACCTAACGATAATTTTCTCGCTAGCTGGCAGGCCTGATTCCAATGCCTATCTAGCTTACCACTTCCTAACGACCAGTAAAACGTCTTTTGGGCGGAGAACGAGCGAGCGAGATAGTGAGCCCTGCACGTGCGGAAGGGCGAGAGGGTACTTCCAACGGGCTTGTGCAAAGCACCCCTCTAACCGGTCGCTAGCGGTGTGCCAAATTTGAACGCAATCGGCCCAGCCGTTCCTGAGATCTGGAAGCGGCATTCTGCACGTGCGCACGTGCAAACGGGGTCCAAACTGACTTTTGCACGGCACCCTACTAACCGGTCCCCAACCGTGTACCAAATTTGAGCGCAATCGGCCCAGCCGTTCTCGAGATCTGGAAGCGCCCCCTGCACGTGCGCACGTGCTGTAGCACCCGAACCTTAACACATGCAGATGAATTATCTGATGGAGACCTTACTGTGTACCGAGTTTCAATTCAATCGGCCCAACCGTTGTGCCGTTATTGAGGTTGCAATTTTTGGGTTCTTAAAAAATGTCCAACTTTACCACGCGCCGCGTGCGGTGGTTGGCAAGAACGCATGGTGGCCATCACACCACAGAACTTTTACGTCCAAGTGACATTCAGTAAAGAAGACCGCTTGTCAATCGGATGTCCCGTTCCTAAGATATTAGCTTTTGAAGAGCGTCCCCACGGCCGGCCGGCCGGCCGCTCATACTCAGGAGTTTCCCTTAATTCAGTATGAACTCGCTAGATGGCAGGCCTGATCCTAATGTCGCGGATCCCTGAGTTAATTTTCACGGGACACTAATTCAGCATTAACTCATCCATGACTGAGGCGTACGGCGGTAACTGACATCCTGTTACCTGTCCGCGCAGGGCACCATGTCCGTATCGTTTGCCGAGCCGTCCGGCGGCGGCAGACGACCCGTTAGACGCACCATCGACAGAGGTGAGTACACTGGGCTACCAAAATCGCTGAGTCACTTACCGCTGGTTGCTATGACGGTTCGGTTTGCGCTGGGTCAGCGGTCGAATGAAACGTCGATTATTGATCGCTGACCTTACTTTTTGTCGTTGAATGCCATTTTGCATAGCTGCCCAGTCCAGTCTTTTCATTCTTTCTTTCTTACTTTCTTTCATGGGATTTCGATGACCGGTGAGGAGATGTAAGCGAACGAAAATACATTGATAGTAACATCTGCAGATAACCAAACTGAGTATTTGGCCAGAAGTTTGACACCAGTTATCTCCACTTGCATCATTGGTAATTTAAGTTTTAGGTCAACTAATGTCGACATGCAGCAAAAGCTCGTATCATTTTGCTATCTTCGATTCCTTACGACTCGAGTTAGGAGTATAGTTACAGGTTTTTGGTAGCCATTGTTGGGTTCAGGTATCGCTGTTTTATGTACCCCCTGTGGCGTGCGGGTGGATCCACGGACCTGCCGGTGACCGGCGCCCGGCCGCAGGTGAGGACCTGCTGAGGGAGTTCGCCGAGACCATGTCCAACATCTCCGAGGGCGTGGTGCTGGAGGACCTGGAGGGCTACTTCGAGGAGATCGACCGACCGTTCTCGGGCGGCGGCCGGCCGCCGTCTGCCTCCACCGAGCCGCCGCCGGCGCCGGCTCCGTCCCCCGCCTCCACGGCCGCGCTGTCCGCCGCCCCCGCCCCCGCCGCCGCCGCCGCCCCGACCTCGGCCGTCCAGTGCCCCGTGTGTCAGAAGCAGTTCCGCCACCGGCGCTTCCTGCGGCCGCACCTGCGACTGCACGACGGCTCGCTGTTCCGCTGCGAGCGGTGCGACGCGCCGTTCCTGCACTACTACAAACTGCAGCTGCACCTGCGCCGGCGACACGGCGTGGCACTGCGGTCGGGCCGCGCCGCCGCCGGCCGCCCGGCCGCCGCCCACCGGCGCGACTCGGCCGGCAAGCTGAGCTGCGCCGACTGCGGCCGCCGGTTCACGCATCTGACCACGCTGCGGCAGCACGAGCGGCTGCACCGCGGCGGAGGCTACCGCTGCGAGCAGTGCGGCAAGACGTTCCCCTCCAGGAGTGAGCTGTCGCGTCACGCCGACGGACACCGGCCCGAGAAACTCTACAAGTGCGAGGACTGCGGCAAGGCGTTCCAGGTGTCCACTTCTCTGGCGCGCCACCGAACGCTACACACGGACCGCGCGTCCCGCTGCGACCTCTGCGGCAAAGAATTCGACCGCAAGGATACCATGCTCAGACACCGCGAGACGCACAAAGCCAGCAACGAGCACTCGTGCCACATCTGTGGCAAAATGTACAAACAGCGTCGCATTCTGGTCAAACACGTCCGACTGATGCACGGCCCCGCCACGCACGTGTGCGAGGTGTGTAAGAAGGCGTTCCGGACCAACTACGAGATGGTGTCGCACGCGCGCAGGCAGCACGCGAAGGCGGCTCAGCCTGAGGGTCTTGTGTCTGAGCTGCCGGCGCAGCCCGCCTGAGCGGCGAGTGGTTTTTGGTGGATGGAGCCGTGGGCAGTCGGCCGCTGCGATGGACCCCGGTGGACATGGAGGCTGTGTGGGAGCTATGGTACAACTGCCCCGTTGTGTGCACGTCCTGTGGGGGAGCTATAACTGAGCAATGGTCTGTTCCTCGAACTACCCTTCTCCCCTCCCTAATGTTAACTTACTATCTTCCGTCCTTTCTTACTTCAGAGCTTTCAGCCCTCGTAAACCCAGAACGTCTGATTTGTCTGTGGTCGTCGTGGAATGTGATTGACGATGCCCGCGTGTTGCGAGCTTTTCTTTGTCGATAGATTATTGTACGCATGTGTGGATGTTATGGGTAGGAGAGTTTCCGACTTTCGTGTCCTGATCTGCAATGTGAGATCATCTCAAGCTGATGGTCAGCTGTTATTGGAGATATTGTGTACCCATGTAATATTATCAAGCATATAAGCACCTGTCGTGTAATGCCCAAATACATTTATCGTGATTGATAACAGTTTTTACCCTGTGAATTTGCTGAATATTATGGATATTATGGGCATTAGTGACACCTTTGCTCAACTGTGTGATCTCTTATATGATTATATGATAACGAAATATGCCGCTCACCATCAGGTATCAACTCAGCGAGACTTCATATTTTGTCAATCATGACCAGTGCAAAGACGGTATTCAGGAATAATACATGTATCAAAATGCGTCATCACATCTGGAACAGGGCCACAGGCGGTAACCAGTACACACAAACATTGGCACCTTACATGTGATCGACAACACGGTCCACTCAGGCGGAACGTGTGGAGTAGGAGACACTCTTCAGCTCATTCTAACATAGTCGATACCCACAGCGAACATTGGTAACGAATACATCACATTTGACCTCACCACGACCGCGCGATATCACTGGAAAGGAAGACGCTACCATCCAGCTGGTGGCAAGGTTAGTCACTCATTTGGCACATGTCCGTCTCCATCCCACCTCCCCGAGATCTTCTCCGTCAAAATGACCCCCTCCCCCCCTCATTTTCTTGTCTCATCACCTCGCGGCGGGACTGACTGCCCCGGTGACCGGCCGGCGCAGGGCACCTCTGGTGCGCGGGGACAGGAGCTGAAATTGTCCGACACGCCGACAGGCGGCGCTCTGAGCTGTCTTGCTGTAATCGCTCCAGCTGAGGCGAGACAGCGCCTCGTGCAGGGCGGCGCGCGTGGAGGCGAGGGCGCCCGGATCCGCCGCCCCCGCCCCCGCCCCCGCCACGGGAGTGGCCTCGCCTCCAGACGGCAGCGGCGTCCGTTCTGGAAGAAGGGTTGAACCACGTCACAAAGACAGCCAGAGAAAGTCCGATCACAAGAACCGACACCAAAGACGGAGCTCGTGTTCATTTGGGCAGACAGGGCTGGCCAGTGGCCTCGCTCGGGCGGCGTTGTCGCTACTTACCGGTAACGCTCAGCCGCTGCGACAGCACCGTGGTGCTGGAGGTCCGCGAGGAGCAGCGCTGGCAGTCCGACTCGATCCCCAGGTCCGGCGACGAGTAGGCCGGCTGGCCGCAGCTGCCGGCACCGGACAGGGGTGATAAATCCAGTCAGGGACAACGACATTCGAAGAAGCGACTAAGTCTACTCGATCACCCAATTCCAGCTGAAAACCTGCTCGTCCGTCCCCTAGTCTATCGGCCCCGCGGGTCTCCGCCCTTCCCTCACCTGGTGCGCAGCGGCTCGAGCGGGTCCGACTCGGAGTGGCTGCTGAGCCGCGGCCCGCCCGGGGAGGAGGGCGCCAGCGGCAGCTCACAGCTGCGTGTCGACTCCGGACACGAGTGGCCCGCCTCTGTGGACCGAGGAGGGGCGGCGCGGGCGCGCATAACGCCGTGAGAGGAGCAGACTGTACACAGACGCACAGGCAGGCATAAACGGGAGCAGAGAGAAATGTGGTGTTAAATGCAACTAAACGCAACATGAAACTTTTGAGGTGACCGTGAGATAGCAGAACTGATACGATCCTGGTCAATTCAACAACAAATAAAAGTGCGCTAGGAAATATAAGCAAGAACAATTCGTGCAAAGGTAACGAACCGTCATAGTCGTGGGCGTTGGCGCGCATTTTCTCGATCTGAGCTCGCGCCTTTTCCAGTTGTTCTGTGAGTTCCCTGACCAGTCGGCTCTCCTCTGGACCTGGTGTGTTGCTGCTCCTCCGCCTCCGTCGCTGCTGAGACTGCTGACACTGTTGCAGTTGTTGTTGATGTTGCTGGTGCTGCTGCTGGTAGTGACTGTGGTCGGACTGACCCGCCGCCTCCGCCAAGGCCGCCGCCGCCTCCTCGGCCTCTGCCTCCGCCCGCTGGCTCTCGTGCACGCTCTGCCGGCTGTGCAGCAGGCGCGCGCGGCTGCGGAGCCGGGCGATCTCGGTCTGCACGCGCAGCCGCTGCCTGCCCAGCTGGAGCAGCTGCTGCTCGGCGTGCCGCACGCGCTGCTCGGCAGCTGCAGCGCCGCCGCCGGCCGTCGGCAGCTGGCGCAGCTGTGCCGACAGCTGGCGCACCAGCTGCTCCAGCTCCTGCTGTCGCTGCTCGGACCGCTGCAGCTGCAGCTGGAGCCGCCGCAGCGCGCCGCCGTCTGAGCGGTCCGGCTGGCGGCGCGCCGCCTCGGCCAGCCGGGCCCGCTCCGCCTCCGTCTGAGGGCACACAGCACACACGTGTCAGAGATGATAGCATATTATACACGGGACACATATCGCAACCTAACCTTACACACAGCAGTCAGATAGTTGGTCTGGATCAGGTACTTGAACCGCTTCCCATCGCTGACGAACTACCCCCGTTACTGTTGATCTCTTCCGTCCGCCGTCAGACTCATTCCCTCCTGTCGGGCCTCGCTCTCACCTGCTCGAGGCGCTCCGAGAGCCGGCTGAGCTGCTGGGCGGCCTCGTCCCGCTGCTGCTGCAGCTGCTGACGCTCGTGCTCGGCCAGCTGCAGCCGGTCGCGCGTCAGCTGCAGCCGGCTGCGCAGCCGCTGAGCGCGCTGCTGCGCAGCCGATAGCTGCTGGGTGCTCTCGGCCAGCTGCTCCTGGGTGATCTGTAGGAGGCAGGAGCGGCTGGGTGTGATGACTGAACGGGCTAGGGGAATATTTACAGGATGTGGTGATTCGTATCGCATTCCATAGGACTCAGCGGTAAGTAGAATCAAATGAAATATAATGGAAGCTGCAGACTGTTTGCATTATTGAACACAAAGGAATTGCATGATCACATCTGTTCGTGCGATTGCATGTAAGCTATGAGTTTTGTCTCGACTGTTGCATGCTGTGCAGTCTGCGCATCATGTGAACGTTGGCTATTCAGATGCGAGCATGACGATGCACACAGTGTGGTCGAGTTAGATATGAATGTCGCATTCATTCATCGATGCCGTCGTTTGCGATACATATTGCAATGCTAATGAAATGCTCACCGAGTGCATTAAATCAACTATATAGGTGTGTGCTAATCACTACGTGATGCATCACTACCGCCGACATCAAATCAGTTGCATAGGAAAGAGATTGTTTGAGACAAACCACCATCCCTTGCTTGTTTCCTGCAGCCGTTTAGAAAGAACCTAAGATAAGATTTGGAAAAACTAAGACATGAACAATTATGCAAACTAATGAGCAGAAACTACACAAGCTCGGCCGTGGGTCCTGAATGTGTCGTGTCCCCTGTATTCGAACCGATCAGTCCGATCCTTACGGTAAGCGCCAGTGTCAGTTCGGGCGGCGGCGGGGACCTCCGTTCGGCCTCCCTCCGTCCGCGGAGTCGACCGCTGGCGGCCACGGCGTCCTCCAGTCGCCGGTGGAGCTGCTGGACGTCCTCCAACACCGCCACCGGCACCGTCACACCCTGAGGAGGAAGGATGGAGAGCGGCGTCAGCGGGGGAGTCAACAGGAGAATCAGGGGGAGGTAGTTGCGATTGCGAACAATCAAAGGAATCCCACTGGAACTCGTTTCCTGCCACACTCGCGCAGCATTAGGGATAACTAACCTGTTGTTGGGAGGTGTCCCCGGCGCCGGTGACCAGTTTCTGGCAGATGGCCACCTCTGCCCAGAGGCCGTCCCGCACGTGTCGCAGACCCTCGATCCGACCCTCCAGTTCCCGTAGCTCGGTGGAGGAGTGCCGGTGGATGGAGCGGCCTGGAGGGGGAAAAAACGGCGTCAGAGACAGCACCAGTGCACACTGCGGGGTGCGAGGTGACAAAAGAATGGAGCACGCTGCAAGACGCTTATGCCGAGATACCAGCGCAACATGAAGGATTCATAGACTGCTGACCTGATCTGAAGCGAGGAACATCTGATTTTACCAGGTTGCCATTTGACTAGGCATTGCCCCTGCTGTGTCTGAGTTTGTATTAAACCCTGACTCCCACTGACCTGTCCCGGTGTCGGTGTCTGACCGCCACTGACCTGTCCGGGTGTCGGTGACTGACCGCCACTGACCTGTCCGGGTGTCGGTGTCGGTGGTGGCCTCGGCCGGCGGCGGCTCCAGCGAGCTCCTCTCCAGTCCGATCCTGGCCCGGCTGACGCTGCGGTCCGGCTCGGACCACGTTTCCCAGTCGCTGTTATCGGCCGTCGGCGGGACGAACAGACTGTCACAGCGGGCTAACGACACCGACATCGGTCCTGCCGCCGTCAGGGGCGCCGGACTGGCTGTGAGGGGCGAACTCCTCAGCTCTACGGCGGACTGATCCAACTCCTCGTGTCTCTCCTCCAGCTCCTTTCCCTCCTGCTCCTGAACCAGGCCGTGTGCGAGGCCGGCCGCCGGGAAGTCCAGGCTCTCGGAGCGCAGTCGCGGCATCGAGCCCAGCCAGGTGGCCAGGTCGACACCGGGGCTCTCGGAGCCCTGCAGGAGGTCCTCGCGGGACTCGGAGCGAGACGACGGCTCGGGGATCACCTCGACACCCTCGGTGCTGGACGCCGCGGCCTGCGGTGGAAGGGCACGGGGTCTCATTAGGGGCATGACAAACTGTGCACAAGCCGCGGTACGCAGGTGTGCTGCACAGGGATGTGACGGAGGGAGAGCAGTGCAGAGGAGCAAGAACGGAGTGGGAGGTGTCATGGTGTGTTGGTATCGGTTTGACTCGAAGTGTGAACGGACGGCAGAGTGGCAATTTGACCGACACTTGACTGTTTTCTTAAGACAGGTCGCAAGGGTTTCCGGTTACGAAGCAAGTTATGTTGCATATCCAGCAAAGCGCACAAGTACAGTACGGATTTTAGAGAACGCATGTTTTGTGCCGGTCCTCTCTCCCTTCATATCCCGCTATATCTGAAGCTACCACCGCGCAGTCGGCTCCGCCGCCTCCCAGCAGCCTCACCTGTGACTCGAGGGACGCGGACGGCCGTCTCTGCCGCAGCAGCAGGCCGTCCCGCTCGGCGCGGCACTCTGCCAGCTCGGTCTGACCGCGGCGCAGCTGCTCCGACACAGTCTGCACGCTGGCCTGCAGCGAGCGGACCCGCTCCAGCTGCAGCTGCAGCGCAGCCGCCGCCATCGCCTTCTCCAGCCGGCGCTCAGAGGCGACGGCGGCCAGCTGCCGGCGCAGCTGCTCCGCCTCCGACCCCGGCCCCTCTGCAGTCTGTCCGCCGGCAGCTGGGGCGGAACGGGGCTCCTGCAGGTCGGGAGGCCATGAGAAACACGTCAGAGGCGCCGAGTAACTGGGATACCTTACATGTTTCATAGGTCAGGCCTCTCTATACGACGCATAGGAATAGGATCGCACAAATGACAAGTAAATCGTCATCTGTTTGTGACCGCTATTCTGACTAAAGACTTATACGAATTGAAAGAAGCTAAAGGTAAGAAAAACCTGAGGTAGCACTCGATTCTGGGATTCCATTGGGATTCTGACCTGAGAATTGCTGGTCTCCTGCGGTGACCGGCGGCCGGCCAGCGTCTCCAGCCGAGCGTTCTCCTGCGCCAGTCGCTGGCCGCGCCGCGCCTCCTCCTCGAGTCTCGCCTGGAGGTCCCGCAGCTCCTCCTGCAGCCGACTCCTCTCCTGCTCCAGCTCCTCCTGCAGCCGACTCCTCTCCTGCTCCGCCCGACTCCGCTCCTCCGCCCAGTCCCTCTCCTGCTGCGCCCGCTCGGCCTCAGTGACGGCGCGCGCCGCGGCGGCTCGCCGCTGCTCCGTCTGCAGCGCTCGGAGGGCGGCCTCCAGACGACTCCTCTCGGCCTCTGTGGCCTGGTGGTGGTCGAGCTCGGCGCGGTACTGCGCCTCCAGCTCCTCCAGCGTGTCCTCCAGCAGCGCCCGCTCTGCCTCCTCCTGACACGCGCGCGACTGCTGCTCGCTCTGCCGCTGCTCCAGCGCCTCCAGCGTCTCCGAGGCGCGCCGCAGCAGGGCGCTCTTCTGGGCCAGTTCCTCCCGCAGTGCCGCCGACTGCACCTGCAGGGCGTCACGGAAGGACGGGAGAGGTCAGCAAAGGTCGCCACAGGCTGTCAGACAGCGGGAGGATAGCACTGAAGGCCGGTACTGATCTTTATGAACAAGGACCGATAAAGGCGGTCTAAACCAATCCCAAAAACATGGAAAACCAGAGGAGATCCAAGCGGCGAACATGTAGAATGCATGAGAAAAAAAACATGGCTAAATCGGGCAATTATGACTAACATGAGATCCTCATTGTTATGATTTTACCGCATAAAACAGTTGCACGAGTGAAAAGAGAGGCAAGCATTTATCAAGATCAGGCACCTTGAGTTCAGCCAGGGCTTTAATGGAGCCGTCATTGGAGTCCTGACGCTGGAGTCGCTCCTCTAACATGTACACGCGCAGCTTCAGCTTGAAGTTCTCCTCTTCGAGCGACTTTTTCTGGTGCTCCTGCTCGCGGAAGGAGTGGCTGCCGAATGACACATCGCTCCGGCAGGCTGCAAACAGGCAACAACGACGCGTCAGGGTCGGACAATTGAACGACAGCGTGAAGGTCAACGGGCTGTAGAGGGCAGGCACACCACTGACATCATCCGCAGAACGAGGAGCAATGAGGCTGTTAAGGAAGTGACCCTGCAATGACCGCAGACTGAGACACAGAATGACACCATCATGCCTGATGTTATCCTTCTAATTATTTCAGCAGTCAGGCTACATTTCACAATGCAGGGCGACGAGCATAACCAATTGATAGGTATTGTGCCATTATCATCATCATAACCAGTCACAGTTGAAATGAAGCAGCTTGGACTACGTCCAACGACATCCACCAAAAGGTCCATCCATCTCAGCAGCCGGAAGCCGTTACCCCTCCCCGCAGCTGTCGGCACATCGTCTGTCCGAGCCCCCGAGTGGCTGCTCGTTGGAACAAACAGGTCTGAAGGCCTGATGAGAGTGTCCCCTCCCCTCTCCGAGGGGCGTGGTGTTGACGGACGAGCCGCAGACGTGCCGAGAGACCGGAACTGGAGCGGCGCAGACGCTCCTCGACTCTACCAGACGTCCCTCTGACCTCTACCAGACTCTCTCGTCTCTCCTGCGCATTACAGAGCACAGACTCATTCAAATGGTTTGACCGTCTCAGAACTTCGGAAGGAGAGGACGTGTGAAAAATGATCGAGTCCAGTCAGCTGGAGAATTGAATGGATAGGATGAGCGTCCCTGACAGGTTTCGCTAAAACGTCGTCTTACGTTCCTTTGAGACAGTTCCAGAAGAGGAGCCCGCCTCCGTTGCCATCCGCCCAAGTCGTTCCAAAGCTCTGAGGTTTTGCAACAGAGTGAGCTGTCTCGGCAGCGCTGGTGGCAAATGGCCGCAGTTAAAGTGCCGTTACTGTCGACAGATGGCGCTGTACGAATTGATCGCCACCAGCTGTGCCCTGCCATTGCCGTTCGTTCGAGATGGTGCGTTCGGAAACGGCGCCTCTGGCACCCAGCTGGAGACCCGGGCCCCAGTCACATAAAGCGATCTGGTACTGGTTTGGCCTGGAGCATTTGGCGAGATAATCGGACTGGTAACCGAGTTTGTTGAAGTTCAATGTATGATACCTAATGGAATCCCACTCAGGGCACCTAAGCATAGCATCGGCATGAAACCTTAAAAGCCCCATTCAACTGAACTGTTCAAGCTTTGGCCTTTCGCATGGAAACTTCAAACAAAGCATCGCATTCGGCATGCGTCACTGACGTGAACACTGAACAGCCGATACGAGCACACCTTCCACCCCGTCAATCGTTAGCCGTTTCAGCGACGCATTTCTCTCCTGTGTGTATACTGTGTAGGAATATCGTTTTACCGGCGCTGGTAAGCTGATCCTGGCGAATGCCAAATTACTCATACCGGTGGCGGCTGGTAATCAAGGCCGATACCTGAGCCGGCCAACATGAAAACATGCCGGGCGGCAACCCCTCCCGCCCCCTCGGCAGGCCTGCTGACCGCACCTGCCTTCAGGCGTCAGCGTAGAGCCTTCAGGCGTTTGTAAAGAGCTGCTTCGACTTACAAGACTGTAAACATTCACAAATTTGAAAATCGCCCAATACAGCAACGGAACACGTCTCATCGCATAGTCGTAGGGGAGAGAGGTCATATTGCGCCATGTTCTTAAATGCGCCACACCTTCCTCCTGCCCAAAATTCGATTCGAACGAATACTCGAATGTGTGCATTTACTTCACCACCAATAACTCGCTCTTATTCCGGTCCACGGGGGCAGGTGAGGTGTCTCAGCTTTCTCGCAGACCATTTTTTGTGATTTCCTCTATTTTCTTACGCGAAACAGTCTATTTCGACCTTTGCTAGTGTCATGGTTTATCTTAGAGATAGTGATTCAACTAATAATCATTGTTAATTGCTCGTTTAATGGTAGTTTTGAAAGTTTGTCACCACCGTGGCTTCGCTGTCGCCGCCATATTTGAAGCTCATGAAAAATGTGTTCCATTCGTAATTGCGCCCACCCTATTTGCGCCCTATTCTTCAACCCAGAGAAACAGCATCTGGTGGTTGGGACACATTTCATTGAACACTTTGATTATCAGAGCGCTCACCTTACAATTACCTTAGCCTTCACATCATAAATGGTTAATGGGCTGACACGTTCAAATAGGCTACTTAGTTAGGTGGCAAACCGTTGTTTTTAATAGGGCGCTTTTACATGAGAGGCATGGGCGCTTTTTGATGGGGGAGTCCGTAAATGCGCCCTTTGCAGATGTGCCGGAAAGCTTTCCTCTTGTTAATTTTGCTGGGTGTGATACAAATTGGGAGTTGTTATTTGATGCCAAAATAGCTGAGGTACAACTTGAGATATCATCAAACATGACAGCTGGTCAACTTTAGCCGCAATAGGCCGATATCCTTAAGGTGGCGCAATATGACCTCTCTCCCCTATATGTTCACTGTGAATTTCATAAGTACTGAGCTTCGGGTGTTTATATGAAGGAAAAACAACCGCCCGTTAACTTAACATTTCTGTCGGGAGATCGGTATTTACATATTTGCGCGCTGGCCAGAGAGCCACCCCCGGGCGGCCGGCTGGTTTGCGCCGCCCCGAGGCGGTCTAGCGGCAGGCAGAGGCACGTGCCACGCCACCGGGTCAGTTACCCCTCCCCGCCGGGCCGCCCGGGAGCAGCCGTCCATTTTCATTCCGCTAATCAAGCCCCGCGGCTGCAGCGGCGGGCCGTGGACCGTGGGCGGGCAGTCTGCACCAGATGCAGAGGTCACCAGAGGACGGACCGACGTCGCAGGGCGGAGCAGCGCAGTTCGCGACCATTCCAGGCCGTGGCGTCTCATCACCCTCGTCCTTCACACCCTGCCGCCCCTCCCTGTCTCCGCCCCTGCCCCCTCCCTGTATCCGCCCCTGCCGCGGCCTCCTTGCCTCCGGCCGGCACCGCAGGCATGTGGACAATGTCAGCGTGCCCGGCTGAACCGCGCGGCAGCGCTGCGGTCCGGCCGGTACAAACTCCACACCGAGGCGGCCGGTCAGCACGTTTCAAACGCCCGGCCGTTACAGCCAGCAGTAGTTTCGCTTTGGTTTCGCTGCGGAGTCAAATGGGGAGCGGTCGGAGCGCCAGAGCGCCGCGCTGGTCAATAAGACGAACCGCCCGCGTCAGAGCGTACGTCAGCTCTGCTGCAGATGTGAGCGGAGCGTGAAATGACTGCAGCTACGCCGAGTCGCAGATACCGTGACCTATACGAGTTTCCAACGCTCGTTTAGGAATGTATGCAGAATCGCCCACACTACATAAAGGCCATCTTTCATACACATGGCATAGAAGTATCACACGCGTGGAACATGTCTTGCCTCGAGAGGAAGCATACGAGCAGGAATGTCCACATCCGTGACCGAGGCGACCTTTGCTGCTGGCAGGACACCAAGATCCGCAGCACATGTGGCGACAGGCGGCGGTTTCATTGCTCGGAACATGGGGTCATGCCATAATATACAACCTCCCCACTGGCCAGCGTCCAAGGGCACCTGCCAAAATGATCCATTATGAGCGAGCATAAACAAAGTTCATGTTCCAGAACTATGAAATTAATCGCTTCCGTTGGCAGAACCTGCTGAAAATCATATTAGTGGTCCTGGAAACGTAACAACGAAAAACTAATGGTGCTGTCTAAGGATGTGGTGAAAAATCCAAGAGGATATGTTTAATATGTTCCGTTTTGTTCAGCTTTAGTGCTATGAGATCCATCGAGTCGGGAGTGCCACGTTTCTGACCCGTGATCGGTCCCGACCCAAAACCATCATGATCCTGTCATTTTCCTGACGCTGACACTGGCCAGCGGACATAAGACCGCTGAACAGCGGACATAGGACATATGACAGCCGGACAGCGGACATCGGCCGTGGAGACAGAGGCCAGGCCGACTCAGCTGAGACCAGTCCGGTCGGTCAGAGATAAACAGACGCGGCGTCAGTGCCGCCCCCCAGGCGCCGACCTCGCCCTGACATAAACAGAGAGAGCGGTATAACTACGACGGCTCTGACGGGTGGGACACGGACTGCAGTGACGGCTCCGACACAGGGCGGTGTCCGTGGGGAAACCGGTGGACGGGGGAGATAGGACGAGAGAGAGATGTCAGCAGAGAAGTGGTCGGACGGGGGATGTCAGCGGAGGTACGGGTGGGTGCGGAAGATATCAGCCGGGGGAGATGGTAGAAGATGGGATATTTTTTAGATGGGTTTAGAGGGGAGATAGCAGTCGGCATATAGGCAGTCATCGGGGGAGATTTTCAGCAACAGAGACTGTTGGACGGGTAGACGGTTGATAATGAGAGATAAGCACCATCAGGACAGGCGTGCTGTGGCCTTCTAATAAAGCAATCAACGATCCAATAAAATTGATTTTCTATAATCGCCAAAAATATTCTCTCATTTGTTTTCCATATCAGGTTAAGCTACATACAAATAAGTGACCTTTTCTCTTGCATGCAAAAACGCCTCATGTTTGACGCTACATCTGTCCGTGAGGATTTATCTGCAGCCGTGAGCCGCCGGTCTAAATGCGTCGCGAGACTGGCGGACGAGCGCAGTAAAACACCGTCCCTAACACCTCCTGCGAGCAGCCCAGACGGCTCCCCGGCCAGGCAGGTATTTCTGGACCAGGAGCGGAGGGGTCGGCCGGCGCCGCAGGCAGGGGGTGCCTTCTGTTTACCCCCACACTGATCAGAGCGCTGCTGCAGTGATGCAAGCGCTGAAAGTACGCCGAGCGCCTCCGCGGACTGGCCACCAGCCAGCCCCACCCCGGAGCTGGAGCTTTGCCTCTAAAAACAGGACTATTGGCCGGACCATCAGGATCGGCAGTGCAGGGGAGTCGGGGACCGAGCCACTCGACAGAAGACGGCGACTCGTCGCCCCATCCCCGTCCCCGTCCTGTCCTGTTCCGTCCCGATCCACCTCCGTCCTGTTTCAGTCCCGTCCTGCCCCGTCTCCGTCCCGTCTCCGTCCTGCCCCGTCCTGTCCTGCACCGTCTCCGTCCTGTCCTGCCGTCCTCCGCCGTCCATCCCCACTCGGTCCTCGCCGCCGCTGCGCCAAGATTTCATCACGGACGGAGTCCGGCCAGAGTTGCACCATACAGCCGCGGAAAATACATGACAGATGGCGAGAGGACACCCTTGCTTCGCGTCAGCGCACGGCGTCAAAAACAATGATCCGAACGAAACCACGGTGACGTCACTCGACGTCGGCTGAGAGAAAATGTCGGGCCGACGACGAATATAAATTCGTCTCCACGCTGCGTGAAAGAGGTCTGTCCGTCAAAAGCGTGCTGCTCTTGGCAGCCGCTTGGAGCGGACTCGGCTCGGAAACCGGGTCTCCAGCTGGGTCGCGTTTGACACGGCAGTTCTGCAGCGCATGTGGCACATAAAATGCCTGAATTCACAGCATATGTGGAATGTGTAGCTTTATATTCGTCAGGTGCATGGCGGCATAGCTTGCGGACATCTGGAATAGTTAATTAATACTGCGAATACGAGTATGAGACAGGATGCGGAAAGTGATATGTGGCTATATGCTCAGTTATTTGCATGGATATTTTATTTCATATTTCCTAGGTGGCTGCATCTATTTCTGTGTGCATGATATTGCCATTGTGGTCGAACTACATCCTGCACAAATACCCACACGAAACGCTTCATTTCAGTGTTATGACGCGTTTCAGTGCGGATGAACATCAAAATTGAATCGACTGGCAGACGTCAGAGTGTTATTCAAGTGTGTTCAAACGTATCCGTTTCCTTTGATTTTATGATTCGTTCAACGTTCCTCAACATCGTAGCTTGTGTTCGCCAGCGACGATCTGCAACTGTGAACCAGTGTTCGCCACGGGCCACAAAATCTCAGCCCAGCCCGGCCCAGGCCCATGGGTTCAGAGCCCGGCCCAGCCCGTACCCGTTCATGGCAAATATGTTCAGGCCCAGCCCGGCCCGGCCCGTCAAACTTAAAATAATCAAGTTACAGTCTTAGTCTCTGATCCTAAAACAAGCATGATTACACTACTTTGAGGATAATTCTAAAGTCAATCTTAATTTGCTAAAAAACATTGCATAAAGATAAACATGACAATCATGACACCTTTCTTTCAAATGAATACAATTGTCTTTAGTAGGGCACAAGCCACAAAGGTCAACAGTAACAGCAAACACATCAGTAAATAATCAGTAAACATCAGTAAAAAGGTATATCATTCCATTCTATGAGCAAACTTTTCTTGCAAACAAAACAAATATGAAAACATTAGCGTGCATAATTATTAATTGGTAACCCTCATTCATACTTAAAGGAAGGGCTTGCAACTTACTCTATATTTCCCAGCATTTACCAGCAGAAAAACTCTTGACTTATGTGCATTGATGAATCTATGTAGGTCTGGTTCATGGTTGATGCCTTGCTGATTAATTCACTCTGAGTGTAATGAATGTTGCTACAATATTCAAAGCCTGAGATACTATACAAAATAACACTGGCTAGTGGCTTCATCATTATCTTCTAATATTTCAGAGAAAGTACACCCACGGCCAATAGCCTATGAACCGAAACTCTAAAAAATATATCTCTTGCCTTATTCATAATTTTGTTATTTACTCTGTTCAAGCTTCAAAGATCATTAGCAACATAGGCAAAACGCAATGGCACTTTTGAAATTTAATTGGGTTCTTTTGCGACTTTTACGCAGCATTATCAACAAGGAATTACTAGCGAACACAATGTGAATGTCGCAGTTGCGTCAGGTTGTCATGAAACTCTATTCTAAAATAAAGATAAATTTAATGATGGCTGTACTTTACTGAAGTTCTATAACCTGGCTTAAAAACTGATTTTTTTCATTTCCATCAATTTCAGATCACAAAATAAAATGCATTTGCTAATGAAAAATACAAGATTTGTTTGATTTAGTATTGCATATAGATGCCACCATAATCGCCGCCATCGCCGCCATAAACGTTTGCATCGTTTGCATGCCTTGTGCATAAACGTCAATAGATGCTGGGAGGGTGGGGTTGGTAACTTATTTTTCGGTAAAATCATGGACAATTTAAGAAGATTTCACCGCGATATATTCTATAGTAATTTCTCGTTACTCACAATGTGTTTCGTGAGTATCCTATTTAATTTCTGTTTGTCAAAGACAGTCAAAATGACTGTATCTGCAATTGTCTCACTGTCGCCATTTGTAAGGGTTTTGCTAATAATTGTATTGTAGCGCATCATTGTTGAGTAGTTTAGTAATTGTTCAGGTCTTATAGTTCTCAGTAGGTTATTCTGACAACATAATTTGTTACTTTCATAAACAAACTGATAATGTAAAGATTATCATAGCTTTTCGGTTGCCTGATTTTTAATGATAACCGTTCATATTGCGATATGTTTTGATGTTTTAAATACATACCTCTAACTTACAAAATTTCCTGAATTCAATACCATGTAGGCACTCTTACACATTTGCCAAATTTTGTTCAGTTTTGGCATTCTTCCAGAGGGTTTGGTTTGGTTTGCATCAGTTTCCAAATTTTCTGAAATTGACATTGGGCGCGAACACATGAAGTCCATCAAGATCCTGGCCCGGCCCGTCCACTTCGTCTGTCCCAAACTGCAAACATCACAGTCGCACGACAATCCGTTGTTGAGTTCTATTCGTTTGAAATTTTGATTTTGCAATATGTTTGTCTCAATTGCTCAGTATATGTGGATTGCAGAACAACGGTAACCACTCTGTGATGACGAGGTTAACGTCTTTCATAACATATCCAAAAATGAAGGCAATCGAAGCAACGATGCTCTAGATATTTACGAAAAACGTTTCTCATAGCGTTACGCGTGAAACGCACCCTTAATCCATGATATTTGAGGGCCCGGCCCAGCCCGTAGCCCAGCCCGGCCCATGGCCCGTTGGGCTGGCCCGGCCCATGGCGAACACTGCTGTGAACTGCGAATGGCCGAGGAACGCAGCTCGTCCTTTGTAGATCGCATTGCCAATCGTCTTGGGAGGTGGTGGGTGGGAGTTTTTCACAACGTTATCATATAGTGTTTTAAGGGATAGGAGACGGAGATCGAGAGGTCAAGGTCAATGGAGCGAGAGCCACGCGGGAGATGGGTCCAAAGAAGTAAAGATAAGAAAATATCTGAGCACATTCGTTTTTTCAGTGGTGTTCAATGCCCATGGTTTTTTTTTTTATCTCCAATGAGGAGGAAACACCCTGGACCAGTCGTTTCAGAGAAGAACGACACCGAGTATCAGTTATGACACCGAGTTATCTTCTACGGTACATGTCACGTATCGCTGGGGTAGAAGTGTTGTAGTTCGTACTGACCCCAGCCGAGTTCCGCCGTGCCCAGACCACGACATGGTGCACGGTGCATGGTGAGCTGTCCCCACGGATACTCACGGGAGCTGGCGGCGCTGTCCGTCCGCGCCAGTTCGGCAGACAGGTGCGACAGGTTCGTGCTGCAACACAGGGACGCGGAGAGCGTCAGCGGACCGTGGATGTCCTTTCCCATCCGACACACTGGCACGGAGCGGGTCAGAGGACGGTGGATCCCTTCGGACCCCTTGGGGCGCCATCCGACACACTGACACGCAGGGCGGTAGACCCCATCCCGTCCGACACACGAGTCAGAGGAGCCACTGACCCGCAGCCATGACCCGACATTACATACATACACCATACTTCGCAAAACGAAAGAAAAACAATCATCATTCCACCGTCTGACATGGAACGCGCTCATGATGAGAACTGATACGCACTGCATGCAATAAATTCAATTGATGTGAATAACATCCGGTCCATGGCGCTTATATCAGCCTTTAATTTATTGATGGGAGAATGTAGACATAGCGCCCAGTTGCTGATATAAGCGGTGCCAAGGCATCGCCCGGTTTATGGTTCAGACAGGTCGTTTGTTTTCTTTTCTGGGGGTTCGAGGGGGTGTTGTTTGAATGACGTAAATAAGCATCATCTATTCCTAGGGAAAATTGTTGACTCATGTGAATTAAAACGTTATGCAGAGGAATTAAATTACAAACAAGGGTTAATAAAACTGGTTAAATGATGATAATTATACTCATAAAAATGGCATGAACTTCACGATAATGACAGAAATAACTAATAAGTATGGTGGATCAAAAACGGACATATATTTATAATCCAGGGTGGAAACTGTCTTCACTTTGCCGTAAAACTATTTGTTGCTACGGTTCGGGCTGCTTGCGCATTTCGCCACTAGATGGCAGTAGCAGTGAGCGCCTGAAATTATACTGTGCCGCATGGCTCTTATCCTGCTCTGGCCATTCTGGTTCGTCTTCTTTGATGGTAATCGGAAATAAGTAACGGCGAAAAGAAAATACAGACACTGACGACAAGGACTAGGTATATGTTCCACAAAAGAAGCAAAGAAACATTTTAAAGGCGACACACGAGCACAGCGCCATATACCTATATTCTGATAACCTCACACTCATTAGGTTACACACACAACGCCGTGCCGTGGCGCCGGGCGGCGGTGAGGCGATAGCCAGGAAGTCGGACGGGAAGTCCGGCACTTCCTCTGACGTAAGAAGCAGATAAGGGACCCACCCAAGGATTTTGAACGCTCCCTCAGTGAGGCAAGAAAGGCATGTGTTGTAAGAATGTATGATAGCGCTTTATAGAAATGCCTAAAGAACATCAAATTGTATTGTATCAACAAATAATATTTCCTTCAAGTTAATTCTAGTTTTATCTTAGTATCTATGTCGAGTTATTACGGTTAGCAATGTAATACATCTGAAGTTTTATCTATTTCTACATTTGTATTTAATCAATGTCACCTGATATTGACATTAACCTACATCCGGTGAAACTAAACATGTCAATGGCGCTCTATATATTGAAAAATATTAGTGATGACATTCTAGCGCATGGACAGTGCGATGTATGAGCAAAATACATTATAGAGCACCAGTATGCTCAATTCGGCTAGGTCAGCAGCACTAGCCAGCAGCGTGGAGGGTTCCCTGGCCCCGGCCACGCCCATCCGCCGACCGGGCGGGGAGCACGGGACCTGCTGTCGGCAACGGCGAATCTGCGCCTCCTGCTTACAGAACAAACACTGGGAGAGGCCGGGTCCCGGTCCCACCAGATGGAACGCGGATCGGCACCAGCTGGCGGCGTCCCCATCCCCAGTAACAGCCGTCTGCCTTCCCTCCGACCGGGGTGTCTGTGACCCCTGCCGTCCCGGGCCAGTGCACTGGAGGAACCCCTGCGATCTGTGTTTGGATCTTTCACGTCCCCTCAGTATTCATGGGAGCAAGGCCACAGGCCCACCTGCAGGGCCTCCTGTCTCCCCCTCTCTCCCCCTCCCTCCCCCTCTCTCTCTCTCTCTCTCTCTCTCTCTCTCTCTCTCTGTCTCTGTCTCTCTCTCTCTGTCTCTCTCTCTGTCTGTCTGTCTCTCTCTCTCTCTCTCTCTCTCTCTCTCTCTCTCTCTCTCTCTCTCTCTCTCTCTCTGTCTCTCTCTCTCTCTCTCTCTCTCTCTCTCTCTCTCTCTGTCTCTGTCTCTGTCTCTCTCTCTCTCTCTCTCTCTCTCTCTCTCTCTCTGTCTCTCTCTCTCTCTCTCTCTCTCTCTCTCTCTCTCTCTCTCTCTCTCTCTCTCTCTCTCTCTGCCTCTGCCTCTGCCTCTGCCTCTGCCTCTGCCTCTGCCTCTGCCTCTGTCTCAGTCTCTCTCGCCATCTTATACTCACTCTCTCCGAGATGAGTTTCCTGCTACAGACAGATCTATACTAGCAGAGCTCCTTCCACCCTTTTCATCTCCATCTCCCCCTCTATTTCTGGTCCTCTCTCCCCTCTCCCTCGAGGTGCGCCCGCTTCCCCCGCACACTCCAGGCAGCTTTGTGCGCCAGAACTGCCAGACCTCGCAGCCTTTGTCTGTCGCTCGCAGCGTCAATGCTCGCAGCCAGGGAGGCGAACCGAGGTTCTAGTATGACAGGCGTAAGGCCAGAGACTCTGGGGATTTGGTTGGATAGGCGATTCTGTGGCGGTGACAGGTCTGTATAATGGACGGATCTCAAGCAACGCGTCTTCTGCTATCGGTTATTTGATGGCATAAGGTTACTATAAAAAATACTGAATAATTCACAAGCGACCACAGCTCTCTAAAATAACACCGAACATAAGTCTATTCGTCTATTCCATGGCCATTGCAGACTGGGTGGTAGTTATATTGGCAGACGTTAGACGGGTCTTGTTGCAACTCACTCAATAAACATTCTGTAAACAAAAACAAAAAACAATGTGTGGGAAAGCAGGGAGCAGGTCACCTCTGTTTTCTATTTTGGATCACTGAATTTCGTCAGTTTGAAATCGAGGGATGGTTTCGTCATATCAAGGTGCGATATACCTATATCCTTGGCACAGAGCAACACAAAATTAGCTTTGTGTTTGGGATTTCATCAGCTGGCACGGTGTGCAGTTCCTCACAGGCACATGGCCAAAGCACATGGCCAAAATCCGGAGTCATGCATCATATTCCAAGTCGAGTTCCGTTTTCTTTTGACTTAAATAGAATCGCTTTGAATTTTTCTTTGAGCTTTGAGCTGCACTTTTCTAAATGTCTTCCTCAAACAATGGGTATATTTCCATTAACCCGGCAGTTGCTGGGGTATTTCGCCACCCACCGTTTGCTGGGGGGGGGGGGCGTTAAACGCCCCCAGCCGATAACTCGAGAACCAAAAGGCGCAGCGAAACGCACGAGGCGGCAAACGAAAGAACGCGACGAGACGCTTCAGATGAGTACTTTTAAGTTGAATTTTGAGGTCACAGGTCGGGTCAAGGTCAGGTCAAACACCTGAAATCGGGGTTTCAGTAGCATGGACTTCAGGACTTCGCAATGGGCGCCTCTCGTCATAAACTCTGTCAAAACGGTGCACAATCCATCATATAAGGCCTACAAGAGTGTCAGCTCCATGTTGGGGTCAGTCAAGCATAGGTCAGGGTCAAGGTCAGGTCAACCGGGTAGGCACATATCCCCGAAAATCAAAACTGATATTCGCAGCCTGTGACACATGTTTTATGGGTAATTTGGGGCGTAGAACACGATGGTGACATTCATTTTATCATATGTGTACGTGTTTGGCTCAAAAAATTTAATTTAAGAAATGTATCTATCATGGTCGTGAAGTAGTCACGAGAAATTGCCAAGATTCAGTTCAAGATTTTGGAAAATGCGGAACGATAATCAATAATCGAAGATAACCATTCGATTGTTCATGGTATTGGCAGTCTAATGGCGTTTACGGCATGTCTGTATGTCTATTCTGTGATTTTATATGATTTTTTAAAAATATGCCGTTTTTGGTCGAAAACTCAGAAATCATGACGTCACTAAAACCTCGATATCTCAGAAATTTTCCGACCGATTTTTTTGAAACTTTGTCACAATAACCTTCAATCAATTCCTTACAGGTACACAAAATTTGGCGCGCCTTTATGCTATGGCCCGGCGAAAAAAGTGGGGGCGTTTAACGCCCCCCCCCCCAGCAACTCGCGGGTTAAACAGCTGTGATTTTTGATTGAGAAAAATTACGAATATTAATGAGATTATACAAAAATAACGATCGGCCGGACCCGGGCCATTGAGGCCAGGGCCGGAGTCGTGGTCGCTGACGTGTCGTCTGTCGAACGGACTCATCACATGGATGGATCGTCGACAGTGGGGAGGAGCCAACGGCACCTACTTCTGTCAGACTTACTGCACGGCAAACGGAGTGGCAGTCGCCGAGAGCAGCAACGTTTCTGCTTACTGTCTAGTGGTGAGAGGAAAAGCGTTTCATTGCAAGGGTTTGAGGGGGAGTCGCCGACGAGTGAGGTAAAGTCTTTCTCTCTCTCTCTCTCTCTCTCTCTCTCTCTCTCTCTCTCTCTCTCTCTCTCTCTCTCTCTCTCTCTCTCTCTCTCTCTCTCTCTCTCTCTCTCTCTCTCTCTCTCTCTCTCTCTCTCTCTCCACGTCCTAAGAAAAAAGGCGAATGGGATGTGCTAGTAGACCGAAAGAGTAAAATTGGTTGCATCGGTTTGAGCCCATCTGCGGCTACCAAATATGCATTCTAAATTTATATGGTACATACTATAGGTATGTTACGTTTTACTCGCTTGGAAGCAACTTTTTATTGCTCAGTACTTTTTTAGCTGGACCCATATTTAGAAGGGCTCTGAAGGCTGATGTGTAGTCAACTGCAGTCAGTCGACTAGGGCTGATTGAATCAATCTCCAAGTCGATCGACTTACAACATTGAATCAATCTCCAGCTACACAACTGGTAACTGAGTTGACCTGTTCGAGAAACTGACGACCCAATTGACAGCTACATGATTATTTTACTTCAATCCAGCGTTCTGTCTTTCCGTTGGGAATAGCAAAAAACGATGGCGAAGAGGGAGTGAGCAATGAGCATGTTGGATGACGCACTCAATCCACTGAGCTCGGGAAAAGCGTCAAACTCATCGTTTGTTAACATTTTTATTTTCACCGGGTGACCAAGTCTATTACTGAGGGTTGCTAGAGTTGAATAAGCCCCTAGAGGCTTTTATTTTTTTGGGGCTTAAGAGCATAAGGCAAGTCCCTACCTAGTGTGGCTATCTATTGCAGTATTTTTTTCAAATCGTATGTTTGTCTAAGCCTGCACGCGGCCCCGTAATAAACCATAGCGTCCATTGCGAACCGCAAACATACTGCCACGAATGCAAACACCGCGACAGCGGAAGTGCGCTGCTATCTTATCGTCTGAGGACGAAAAAGCTGATCTGTCTTTATGAGCTGGACTGCTATCGCCATCACCCGGTGGTCCGTGCCAGCTCAGTCTCGGTTATTTGCACTGCACACTGACCACAAGCATTCACACGTGCAAGCATTCTACATGGCCAATTTAGGGGCGTTACAGAACGGTGATGATCATTTATAACGTCAAAATTCAATAAGATGTTTGGGTTCGAATACATGGCATTAGCAATAGCATACTTTGCTTCTTTTTTCTGGCTGGCCAAGTGTCCAGTTAGTCGAAACGTTTGATTTTACAACACTTATTTTCATTCGCTTTGTATTTGTAGAGCGAAAATAGGTATTCCCATGCATACACTGCATTGCAAGCGTCAATCATGCTACAATACCAAAAAATATGCATCATAAATTTTCAGATATCTCTTCTCGAGTGTTTGCGCTGCCTGCTATAAAAGCAGCACATGGCAAATAACACGCAAACTGAACTGGCGCCCACGCGTCTTTTTCAAATATCGGCCCACTATCGGCTAAGTCAACATTCGTTGACGTGACGGTTTGAATTTCAATCATCAATCGGGACAGTTTATGTCACTGGGAAACATGTCCCGATTGACGTCAGTACTGGGGCCGTGCAATGGTTATAGCTGCACTGCTTCTCGACGCTGGACTCTCCTCAGCTGCGAACGGGCGGGATTTGTCTCAGCCTGGACAGGCCCGCGGTGCTGACGACATTTTGTTTAGACGTCCCGTCGTCCCGGGAGTCTGAGTCACCGCAGGCGGGGGGGGGGGGAGGCACCCCGGGGCTGCCTAATGTCCGGAGGGACGCCTCGCTCTGGCAGATCTGGAGCGACTCAGTCGCAGAGGCGGTAACAGGGGTTGGGAAGAGCAGAGGCTATAGGATTCTACGTAGACGGATCCGACATATGCCACACAGGGAGGGACATAGAAAGAGGGAGGGGAGAATAATGGTGGGAACTGAGCTAGTTCGGATCAAATTTACCAAATTTATCTTTTTTTACCGTGCTCAATGGGTTTGTATTTAACTGGGCTCCAGGGGCGGATCCAGGAAAACTCCAAGGGGAGGGTCATGAATCGAAGTGGTGCCCCTACCTATACCCAAAATTAAAAACTCAACGGATTTCGTCCACTTCATTTTGGTGGTGCCCCGATTTTCAGTTTTTTATTTTTATTTTTTATTTTTAGTCAGTATCTTACCTCTTAGCCACAACCACATTTACCAATTGTAAGCAAGTATATATGAATGTGCTATGTGTATATATGTTGTGGACGCTGAGTAATGAGTACTTACCAGGAACGTTATCAGGTAAGCAAATCGTTGTCAGTCCGACGAACTTGACCCTGGCGTCTAAAGGGTCTGTCCTTGACACTTCAGGCTTGTCAGGGGCACCAAAGTCCTTCCAGGGACACCACAAACCTGTCAGGGGCACCTACGGCCTTGTAGGGGCGCCACAGGCCCGCCAGGGGTACCACAGGCCTGCCAGGAAGCAGGGGCACCACAGGTCTAGCAAGTATACACGACAGGCCTGTCAGGGGCACAACGGGCCTGTTGGGCCCATGAGCACCCCTAGGGGCAGGGGCACCACAGTCCTTCCAGGGGCACCGCAGGCCTGTGAGGGGCACCAGCGGCCTAGCAGGGGCACCAGTCAACACAGGCCTGCCAGGGGCACCACAGACCTGCCAGGGGCACCAGAGGCCTGCCAGGAGCACCACCGACCTCGCAGGGGTAACTTGGGCCTGTCAGGGCCCAGGGGCACCACGGGCCTGTCGAGAGGCACTTCAGGCTTTTCAGGGGCACCATAGTCCTCTCAGGGCGCAGGGGTAGCAGGGGCACCAGAGGCCTGCCAGGGGCACTACAGGCCTAGCAAGGGCACCACTGGTCTATCAGGGGCACCACGAGCCTGTCATAGCCAGGCATCTCAGGCTTGTCAAGGCCCAGGGGCACCACAGGTCTGTGAGGGGCACCAGCGACCTAGCAGGGACACCAGTCAACACAGGTCTGCCAGGGGCGCCACAGACCTGCCAGGGGCACCACAGACCTGCCAGGGGCACCAGAGGCCTGCCAGGGGCACCACCGGCCTCGCAGGGGCACCTTGGGCCTGTCAGGGGCACGACGGGCCTGCCGAGGGGCACTTCAGACTTTTCAGGGGCACCAGTCCTCTCCGGGCGCAGGGGCACCAGAGGCCTGCCAGGGGCACCAGCGGCCTAGCAAGGGCACCAGAGGCCTGCCAGGGGCACCACAGGCCTAACAAGGGCACCACGGGCCTGTCAGGGGCACCTCAGGCTTGTCAGGGCCCAGGGACACCACAGTCCTTCCAAGGGCACCGCAAGCCTGTCAGGGGCACCAGAGGCCTGCCAGGGGCACCAGAGGCCTGCCAGGGGCACCACAGGCCTAGCAAGGGCACCTCTGGCCTGTCAGGGGCACCTCAGGCTTGTCAGGGCCCAGGGGCACCACAGTCCTTCCAGGGGCATTACAAGCCTGTCAGGGGCACCAGAGGCCTAGCAAGGGCACCACAGGCCTGCCATGGACACCACAGGCCTGCCAGGGGCACCACCGGCCTTGCAGGGGCGCCTCAGGCCTGTCAGGGGCACCACGTGCCTGCCGGGGACACTTCAGGCTTGTCAGGGGCGTTACAGTCCTGTCAGGGCCCAGGGGCACCAGGCCCGTGGTGTCCCTGCTAGGCCTGTGGTGCCCCTGGCGGTCCTGTGGTGCCCCTGTCAGGACTGTGATACCCCTGATAGGCCGGTGGTGCCCCTGGAAGGTATTTGGGCCCCCGGGCCTCAAGGGGGGGGGCCATGACCCATGTGACCCCCCCCCTTGGATCCGCCCCTGCTGGGCTCTGTCCGCCCTCAAATAAGGCGGGCGATGAACGTGTTGTAAAGATGTATCAATCCAACCGGACTGTCAAGGCTCCGGGTCCATGCACCGGCAAAGGGAACGTATAAAAATATCGCCGTCGACAGCTGAGAACGAAACGCAGGGCGCACGGCCGCCACACGGGCCCGGCCAGTACGGCAGCGGGTGAAACTTAAGACTGTACACTACCAACCACACCGCCAACAGCCGTACGGCAACGGCAACAGACACCGGCTCGCACACAGACAGACAACTGTACAGCGAGCGCGCTCACACACAGCTAACATATCTAAAACGGCACCGACGTCGCACGTCGCGCCACCGAACAACCACTCGCGACCCTCGGTATTGTCATTGGGCGTCACGGCGCCCGTCACGGGTCGAACATCACGCGGAGTCACGGCGCCACCACAGTCCTAACGTTACGGCGATCGTCACGGGCCCGACGTCCCAGCGCCGGTCGTGCGTCCGCCGTCCGGTCGCGGCGAGTCCCAGCCAGTCGGCAGCTTGTACTGGTGCGCGGCGCGCTCAGAACCGGGCGCGGATGTAGACAGCCGACACGTCGTGGTCGCCGTAGCCCACCCGCTTGGCATGCTTGAACATCTCGTTGGCGGCGGCCGTCAGGGGCAACGGCTGCTCCAGCTGGTCCGACATGGTCAGCGACAGCTTCAGGTCCTTCGGCATGTGCTTCAGCGCCATCTGCGTCTGGAAGCCGCCCTCGATGATGGCTCTGCCCTTTTCTAGCAGCAGCGGGCAGGCGAGCGTGGTGAGACCGAGCACCTCCAGAACGTCCTTCTGCTGCAGGCCGGAGCGGTCGGCCAGCGCCATACCCTCGGCCGCCATATCTTCCTTTTAGACATATTTTTAGACAAACTTACTAGTAGCATAAGTAGCTCAAAAACTACAAGAGGCCGAGAACTGATAACGCTAGCGACAGTAATTGTCCGTGCTTGTCAACGTAGCATGCATGTCCATACGGTTTGGGGTTGCCGTGAATCCGTCCGTGAGATGAGGCACGTTCAACATCGAGGTAGACGACAAAGTGTCACAGCTCGAGTGATAGGTAACGAAACTCTACATAACTTAATGCCAAATAACCGTGAAACGAAAACGGGAAAATTTGCTCTGTCGAAATCAAGTAGGGAATCGAATGTCAGTGTCCCATAAATCCGTTCTCTTTGTAGAGACTCCGTTCTTTGCTTTCATTCCCTTCTTTCTTTCACCAGTCTTTCATTTTCTTTACAAATTTTATATTTATCTGCCCGCTGTCCCGATTCCTATTATCTTTGTCTTCTTTCTCATCTCTCTCTCTCTCTCTCTCTCTCTCTCTCTCTCTCTCTCTCTCTCTCTCTCTCTCTCTCTCTCACTCTCTCTCTCTCTCACTCTCTCTCTCTCTCACTCTCTCTCTCTCTCGCTACCCCACTCTCTCTCTCTCTTCCTCTCCCTCTCTCTCTTTCTCTCTGTCTCTGTCTCTCTCTCCCTCCCCCACACACTGACCTGAATGGAATGTGCTCTATGGCGGACGACTGCCGCCGCGTTGGCGTGCTTCTTGGCGAGCTGGAGTACATCTTGTCCGCCTGCTGGAGCGGAGCTCTCCCTCCTGCCAGGCTGAGGTGCTGCGGCCGCCTCAGGCGCGGCCCCGCGCTGCCGTCCCCCGCCAGGGGAGGGCTCTGTTCGTCCGCCACGACTCGCTGCTCAGTTCAACTGACGCCAAGTCTCGCTGTTTGCACACCCGCAGCTCACTATCACAAGTGCGGTCACAGTTCACGCGAAGAGTCAGTGACAAACACGGGTGACGGGTAAAGTCTGCTGGAGAAGTGTCCCGGTGCCGACGGACCGCTCCTCGCCGCGCTCCGAGACGAGACTGCCCGATCGTCGGTCCCCCGTCCTCTCGCTCCGCCCTCTTTGTCCCTCCGTCGCCGTCTGCGCGGCGTCCCCCGGCGAGGCGCGTCTCTGACAGCGCCGCCGCCCGCGTCGAACGCCGCCAGGGGCGCCCCGACCGGCCGACGGATGCGCGGCGGGCGGACCCCCGACGGGCGGCCGTCGACAGGGCTGCGGCGGGCGGACCGCGCCGAGCATCCGCCGCCGGCTCTGCGCAGATGCGCGCCACCCTCCGACGCCGCTGTTCTGTATAAATAGACCACCTCGCCTCCCGCTGGGGGGGGGGGGGGAGCGGGGAGGGGGCTGCGTGTCGAGGCCGAGAGACTGAGTGCGTGGGGAGATCAGTGGCGAGGGGAGCGGCTGGAGGCGCCGGCTGCTGGTGTTCCCAGCACCCTCCCGCCCCGACTCCAGCCACGATACACCGGGAACATGGTCACAATGTGTGATCAGAGCATCCGAGCCTCTACGACCAGCCACGTGCCCGTCCGGAGTGCAGGCCACTGACCCAGTCTGTGTCACCCAGACACAGAGCTGCGTGCAGTGCACATTCACGCACAGTGCACATCTGCACAGGGACCTGAATGCTGATCAGCTGGTCTGGTCCGAATTCGCTACACATGCTGATCGGTTGAAGCGGTGAGGCGTCGGTGCAACGTTTTCGGTGCTGGGAAGTGTTCCCTTCTCTGCATATAATCAAATCAAGAAACGTTTTCTAGGAAAGGTTATGGCGACGCACGACCTAGTCGTCTCTCAAGCAGCGTCTTTCGTCAAGGCGACGTCTTTCTCAAGCAAATGCAAGAGAAACATAAAAATAGCATGATATAAGTCGTTTTCACGACGGCCATCTGGTACACATTTGGTGCACATCTGGTACAGATTAGGTGCAAATCTGGTCAAATCAGGTTCAGTGTGTCTCTTAGCAGCTATCAGCTAGGGTTGCACTAATATCTTATATGTCTGCTTTCTCATATTATCAGAGAGCATCATCGATTAAAACACTGAAATAAATTCATAAAATGAAGATATTTGCTGTAAAAGAAATTAGGTGCAGATTTGGTCAAATCAGGTGCATTCGCCGGATAGCCCGTCGTGAAAACGGCTATAGAAAACTAACGGAAAGAACGATAAATTCGTCATTTTATGCTTCACTGGCCTGTAATGGTTAGCAACATACATAGAACCCACATTGTTGCTACCGGCGTTGCAGCAGCCTGTTGACGGCCCGTTTCAATGACTAACGTGGCGGTACAGGTAACTCAACCCCCGAAAGTCGGTGTTGCTGAGTTGACCGCTGCGATCACATTTCTAGCCTGACCGCTGTGGTCACATATTTCCAGCCATGACCGTGCCACCGCCCCGGTCTCATTCCATTCGCTGTGCTGCAAAACTGCCTGCTTGATTCTGCAACAGAGATCGGTTTATCAATGTCGTCGGAAGTTACTGCCCGCGCTTGCGTTTTCAGAGACAATCCGCGCAAATTTTTTTCAGAGATGCTCAGTTATATAGGTATTCGATGTCACCTACAAATTTACAAAAGCATAAAATAACCTTTCGCATAGCCCGCACGCTGTTGTTGTGCACGTTGGAGCATTCCGCAGTCAGGTTTGTTAGCTGATGAGTAGACGTTTTTGGTCTGGTTTTTGGCACGAATGCTTATACTCGTACCTATTACATTGGTGACCTAAATTCGGGTCGGCTTGGCGATCTTTCTATTTGAACTCAGTGGGAGAAAATAAAGTGCTGAGTTTTATTCGGACGAATACAATTCTAAAGCACTCAGAAGTCAGAGTCAATGTTTTTAGATGCCTGTTTAAAATCAAATGCTGAATAATTTAAATGCACCCGTGACCTACATACATTATAACTTCGAGTTTCCATATCACTTCCCTCTCGGTCAATGACGGTTAAGCTTTTTTAGTCAACGTAGCTTTCTGTATGGGACTTGACTTGAGACAGTTATCCCCTATATCACTGCAATGAGCGAGACGGTCATTTACATTTATTTGACACCATAAAAACCGCCATCAGGGATTATAGCTATCTTACTCAAATTCATGTGTACTGTATAAATAAATGTACACCATTTGCAAGCTCAAATCGCATAAGCGGCACGGCACAAACGAATACAGCTCTCGAACCCATTTGACACTTGAGGCATGGATAAATCGGTGAGCCAGTCAGTCGCAGGCAGCTTTGCACACTACGCAGTGCACGGCGCACGCTGCACAATGCATTCGTCTCCGTTGAGTCAGTCTTTTCAGGGCGGTGTAGCCCGTCGCCATCCTGTCGCTTACACCTCTGACCTACAACTGTCCGCAGTCCTGGATGATGATCTGTTTGGACGTCTTGCCCGAGGGCGACGAGCCGTAGCCCTCTATCTGTTTGACGACGTCCATGCCCTCCGTGACGGCGCCGAACACCACATGTTTCCCATCCAGCCACTCTGTTTTGGCCACGCAGAGAAAGAACTGGCTACCGTTGGTGTTAGGCCCGGCGTTGGCCATCGACAGGATACCCGGACCGGTGTGCTTCAGCGTGAAGTTCTCGTCCTCGAAGCGGTCGCCGTAGATGGAGCGGCCGCCGGTGCCGTTGTGGTTGGTAAAGTCGCCACCCTGGCACATGAACTCGGGGATGACGCGGTGGAACGAGCAGCCCTTGAAGCCGAAGCCGTGCTCGCCGGTGCACAGGGCGCGGAAGTTTTCGGCCGTGCGCGGCACCACGTCGGCGCGCAGCTCCATGACGATCCGGCCCAGGGGCTCGCCGTCGGCCGTCATGTCGAAGAAGACGCGCGGGTTGGTGCCGCTGCCGCCGCCGGCTGCCGGGGAGCTGGTACCGGCGGCACCGTCAGCCGGGCTGGGCCCGCAGCACAGGCCGCACAGTCCAGCCATCACTGTGTCGGTGTGAGAGCTAGAGCTGCAACTCAGGTGATGCCGCAACACGGAATATTATAAAGGTTGTGTTCTAGGAGCAGTTAAGATTTTCTGTACCCGCCTTAAATGTTTTTTTTTTTTTAATTTCTATATGTCAACTAAGGGCACACGATGTTGCTTTATCTGCTCCATGAATTTAATTAAATATCCTGGCGAATGTTGTTTAGAGCAGCGATGAAAGGAAGCGGATTAAGCATAGATAAACTTTCATTGCACATAAGTCCTTTGCACGTACCTATACCTATCCGTACTTACTTCGCGATCAAAATCCATATTCAATTTCGAAATGGAAACAATGGTGGAAACTGATCCGCTCGAAAAGGTGCTATTATGAGTGCTACACTTGCGCTACAAAATATCTTACGGCTGCCGCAGCTTTTTATGATTCAGTGACGTATCTGAATAGACGCTAAACTACATCGTAGGGGAACGTGAGTAAGACGGCCCAGCGGGCAAGACGAACCACCAGCCTTCCCGGCTGAACAGCTGCTGTTACTCTGCTGCTTTGTGCAATGTGCACTCACTATCTTTATTTTCCTTCGTACCAATGGCCACCTTGAGCTCATAGGGCCAAGATGCATAGATTTTGAGTTATTGAGAAAAATGTTGTTTTCCGTCAAACCGACCTAATAGGTATAATAAGAGGTCTAAGGGCGATTTAATTGGCAGCGCCTTTCGTGCATGATTACCTAGTATTTATATGCGACGAACACGACGAATATCGTTATATTTTGCGGGGGCAGCCTACATGACGATTTATATTGTGAGATTTGATTGACCCAGGTATCCTTTCTCAGGTACCTGGGTCCGCCTATTCCAATATTTTCATTGTAGAATGACGTCACATAGTCTTCAGTGTATACATATGAGTCCAGGGTAACTTTTAAAGGGGGAAAATGGGAATTTCCCCCTTCGAAAATTCCGCTCCCACTTTCAAATTGTGTGTGAACGGCTAGAGAGGGAAGGGGGAATTTCCCCTTTCAAATTTATTTTTGAGCCCATTTTCAATCAATTCGCTACTCAGATTCTATAATCGTCGTTGATCGGACTCTAGTCATCAATCATGCTGGCGCTTAGATAATTTTCAATTTGAGGTTCCATCCAACCATTTTACATTAAGTGCGGCGGGAACTCCAGATTTGACCCGATACCGATCGGATGGTCGGTGGGACCGTCTCTTGTCTTGTCTCTTCCGTCTCTTCGCATTGCAATCACTGACATATCGCTACAGGCGTCGGCGTAGAAGCCGGCGGGGGACGGGGGTCACTCATGACCTTTTCGAACCAAGGGTCTTCCTTCGAACCAGGGTCCTTCAATTGGTCTTGGCCTAGCAAAAATAGTCACGTCACAAAAATACTCTCTATTTAGAAAGGCGCTACTTGATGTTTGGCCAGGGTAATAGGTTGATATTACTGATTGACATTTGCAAGGGCGCAGTCAAGTTGGGACCTCCCCCGCCCCTTACCGCCAAGGTAGGTAGGTACCTACGTATATTTTTAGCTAATTTATTTTTTTGGTAACCTTACAATATAAAGTGGCCAGAATCCGGGGAGAGAGTAGGATTTGGGGGTAGGTAAGGTTCTGCAGGCGCCATCCTAACAAAAACCTAATGGCATTGGGCCCCCTTTCAGATGCCCCTGGATCCGCCCTTGCCCCGAACTTTATTCCCCCTCTCGACTTTTCCTGTAAAAGTAGGGGAGAGCGGGGAGAGTTGTATCATGTCCAAGTTGTATCAGGGCGAATTGTGCCAAACTTATCCAATAGATGGCGCTCGTGACACGACCAGCCGACGAGGTTTTCCGGGTGCCATCTTTCCCTGTTCTGTCGTGTGGCTGGGTGGACGCGTCTCGAGGTGAGAGCCGATTTTATGTTTTTTAATGTCATTCTAAAAAAATAAGTTGCAAGAAAATGTGTGTTTTGGGCATTTAGATGTGCACGAATTTGAAAGATCTCCGTAGCGGTGGTGAGGGTAGGTTCTAAGGCTGCGTGAGTGAAAATGGATTTCTCCAGCTGTCCGCTGTTTTTGAGCACGACGATGTTTTTTTCCAAGATGGCGGCGAGGTACATGTTGTATCAGAGCCGGGTGGGGTATGTTGTAACATGTATGTATGTATGTATGTATGTATGTATGTATGGGTATGTTGCTTTTGATCGCGAAAGCTAAGCTCTGGCTCGCGTTTGTAGGTAGCTAGTCAATACTCGTTCCATTTCGGCACAATGTGTTGACCTCTTTGCTCTTAACGGGCCACTTTTGCGTCTAGTCTGTTGATGTTTCGTTCGTTTCGATGTTTCGTTCGGATTACATTGACCTAAGTTTGGTCTTATAAAAGTGAAGCCTTTGAGCATATACATTGTATTAACCCCATTTAATGTTGTTGTTATGTTCAAAATCAGTAGCAAGCACACTCCCTGAAACGTGAAATACCTAGTGATACAAATTACCCCACCATGTGATACAACTCACCCAAGCCGTGGGGCAAGTTGTATCAAAAACATTGTTCTATTCGGCAGACCGTAGAAGAAAAACTGGTAGAGGTAGCGGAAAAGTTACTTTGCACAAAAAAAGCAGAAGAATCAAGGAAAGAGATAGTATGGAAATAATGAGTTTATCACGGATAGTTACGAGGTTATGGGTCTCGGAGTAAAAACTGATACAACCCACCCCACTCTCCCCTAACCCTGCATATGAGGGAGGGGGGGGGGGGGGGGTGCCACTAGTCGCTGCTTAGCGGCAAATGTCGGAACAGTCAAAGCTGGGCTAAAACTACCCCCGAGGAACTCGTCCTGGAGACGCTTCTGCGCAAGCTAGAAACTCAACAATTTGACACAATGTGCGCAATGAATGGCAAGGAAAAGTCTCCAAATTTCAAGCCCCTAGCTAGAGTGGTTTTCCATCGAGAGCAAAAAAAAAAAAGTACAGGTGGGGGCCGATTCACACCCCCCCCCCACCAGTAATAGGGTTAAATAAAAGCCATTTTTCTAATAGAAGCGATAATTTTAGAGGATAATTTTAAAGAGGAAAAATATCTGCAATAGTTCCTTTCCATGCTACAATCAACAATTTTCCAATTGCAGCAACCAAAGAACAGATATACCTATGGATTTTTTTTTTGCACGAATGTGCCCCACTCTACCCTATCTGCAGTGACCTCAAATAGTAAAATATATGTTTTATGGACAATCCCCCATCGATGATTTGTAATGACATGCAATTGCATTTTACTTGATTTTACAACACATTTCTTTAACCCTCGCCCCGTAGGGGGGGGGGAGCCGAAACGGCCCCCCCTCTGTCCTTTTCGGTCGATATCTCCTAAACGGCTAGAGATATCGCCACCAAACTTTCAGGACCCCTCCGGGCATCAATTTTGCACATTGTGACCAATTATTGTCCAGAGGCTATGATAGGTTGGCCACAAATGACGTCAGAATGACGTCATGATCTGTCGTTTTCGACCGAAAAAAAGACCTTCGCGAGAAGACCTGTCAGGCCTACATTTTTGAAGATACAGAAAAATGGTTGAGACATAAAAGGTGTAGAATTGACAGGGCTACAAAACTGCCATCTCGGATTTTTGAAATTTTTGAGTTTTGACCCCCAAAAATCAAAAAAGCATTTTTTTGGATATATTAGCCAAAAAAAAATCCAAAAAGTTTTTTGAGTTTCGAAAAAAACGGAAAATGTGTGATAGTACCTACCGTCTTCTATCTACATACCAAATTTCAGATCGATACCTCGTTTTTTGGCCAAGTTATAGCAAAAAAAAAACTTCAAAAATGATGACGTCAAATTTTCAAACTCAATTTTTGGCAATTCTAGACCTCGTAGAGCAGAACAAAGACCACCATTAGACTCCCCTTGACAAGCTGCATCGAATGGATACCCATTTTATGCAAAAATATCAACTTTGAAATTTGACCTAATTTGACCTGACCTTGACCTGACCTTCACCAAAACGTGAAGTAGGCTGACCCCAAAGGCTGCCTAATCCACATAATCGCATTTGTCATGTAAAATGGACCATAAAACATGTATCACACGACACTTTCATATTGTGACCCCCGGTGACCTGACCTCGCTGTGACCTGACCTGGTATCAGTGACCTCAGATAGCAAAGTATGTGTTTGACGAACAATGTACCATCGATGGTTTTCAATAAATTACCAATTAACTCGATTTCACAACACATTTCTTGAAATACCTGTGAACGGTGAAAATCTGACCTTTGACCTGACCTGTGACGTCATCGGTTTGACCTAGGTCAATGAAATTTGTTCACAAGGTAGTTCCCGAATGGGGCTATCAAACGCCGTTTGAATTTTGAAAATCGGCCGGTAACTTTACGAGATCTTACGGGGGCCGAAACGGCCCCCCCCCCTACGGGTGGTAGGGTCCGCCGGTAGCCCTACGGGGCGCGGGTTAAGGCCTGTAACGGTGAAAATTTGACATTTAACCTGACCTGTGACGTCATCGGTTAGACCGAGGTCAATGAAATTGGGTCACAAGGTAGTTCCCCGTTGGGGCTATCCAACGCCGTTTGCCGCTCAGTCGCTATATTGCTTGTTTCTCTAGATCTTAGGGGGGGGGGGTAAGATGCCCCCCCATCAGACCGCGTTGCTCGGCAGATCCCATCAGGGGCCAGGGCGCGGGTTAAGTTGACCTCATCCGAACAAAAAGTAGGTACCTTACCTACCTATACCTACCATTAGAAGCACCGGGGCTAGGCGAACCCGATGATGCCAAAATCGCGGCTCTGTGGCCACTGGCCATTTTGCGAAGTTATTCACAAAAAAACAAGCCCGTGATTTAGGCCAGCTGACCTGACCTCAGAGGTCACCGGTTGACCTGAGACCTTAGAATTGGGTACCAATCGTTTCATCTCGTAACGGTGAACGCGCTTATTTTTCCGCGAGGCAGCGCAACTCAATCAGCGAGGGGGTTCCATTTCATCCACTCATCGCGATCGGTGCGCGGAGCTTCGTGGCGCCCGTCCGGATTTTCTGCAGTACCTAACACATATTTTGACAAAAAGCACTGAGCGGATCGAGCGGATTTAAAATAAAGGGTGCAGTGTTAAAACATCAGTTCATTTAAAACATCAATGAAAGGCGTGTAGGTATGAATATTTCACAATTCACATGCCGTGGATATATTTGCAGTGTTTTAATGAGAGAATAGCAGCTAAAAAGTTGCATTATTTTAGAGCGAATAAATGGCCTTGTTGTGATGACGTCACAACAGCTGTTTTCTTGGGTAACAAATGTTGGACGACGGG